TCTAGCTAAGAGTTTGCCTATTTTCTCTTGTAAAAGAACCAGCTTAGTTTAATCTTTTCATTGTCTTTTTCATCTCTGTTTTATTTACTTCTGCTCTGATATTTATTTTCTTCCTTCTAGTAACTCTGGGCTTTGTTGGTTTTTAGTGTTCCCTGAATACGCTTTACAAAATTAGGTTGTTTATGTGAGGTATTTCTTGTTTCATAATGTAAGCATTTATCACTGTGAACTTTTCTTTTTGGACTGCTTTTGTGTCCCATAAGTTTTGGTACTCTGTATTTCCATTTTCGTTTGTCATAGGTATTTTTAAATTTTGGTTTCTCTTTTGCCTCATCGGTAGTTCAGGAGCATGTTGTTTATTTCCACGTATTTGTGAATTTTCAGTTTTCTTCTCATAATTGTTTTTTAGTTTCATACTACTGTGGTCAGAAAAGATGATTATATGATTTTTGTCTTCCGAAACTTACTGAGATTTATTTCGTGGCCTAATATATAATCTGTCTTGGAGAATGTTCTGTACGCACTTGAGAAGACTGTGTATTAAGTTCTTGGGGGTGAACTGCTCTGTATGTATTTGTCTGGACCATCTGTTTTAATGTGTAGTTTAAGGCTAGTTTCCTTTTTATTTTCCGTCTGGATGATCTACGCAGAAATGAAGTATGGGTGTTAAAGGTCCCTGCTAGTACTGTTTGTTATTTCCCCCTTTAGGTCTATTTTTGCTTTATGTATGTAGACACCCCTATGTTGGATGCACGTTGTAAGTGCTTATTAGATTGACTTTTTTTTATCATTATGTAACAACTTCCTGTATCTCTTATTCAACTTACTGTCTAAAGTCTGCTGTGTCTGACACGTGTATAGTTACTTCAGCTTCCTTTTGGTTTCCGTTAGCATAGGAGACTTTTTCCATCCCTTCACTTTCAGTCTGTGTCCTAAGATCTGGAGTCTTTTTTATGTGGAACCATATAGATGGGCCTTATTTGCTGAATCCATTCAGCCACTCTGCATCTTTTGATTGGAGAATTTAGTCCATTTACATATAATTATTGATACATATGTATTTATCACCATTTTATTGTTTTCTAATACTTTTACATTTCCTTTGTTCCTTCTCTTGCTCCTTCAGGCAGCAGCTGGGAAGTTATGTAGTGGCCCTTCCCAGGGAGAAATGTAGATGAACATTTTTGCCTGGTCTCTGTGCTGGGCCCAGGTGTCTGACATTGGGGTGGGGCTACGGGTGAGGTTGCTCCTGTGCCCATCAGAAATTGCTACAGTCCTGTGGGACTCGTGGATGAAAGCCCACCCACTCTCTAGGCTGGTTGATCTGGGGACATCCCTTGGGTGGCAGCTGTAAAAGCTCAGGCACAGGTGTGTGTACAAGTGCCTCCCATAGAGATACTCGTGACTTGGAGTGGTGGATTGGAAGAGGAAGATGTGGTCTCTGGGGAAAGACTTGGGAGATAAGTGAGTTGCTTGGTGCCCGCATGCGCCTTGGGAGGAAGGGCACAGTGATTGCTCGTACCCCTGTGAAGAGTTGCTTGTTTGCTGTGTCTTGTGGATCCCAACGAACACCCACTGGACTTCAGAACTAGGTGGTTTCGGAGCTCATCCTCCAGTAGGGGGAACCTTAAAAGTTGAGGCACTAGATGTGAAGTCTAAACCCTTCACTCCTCAGAACTGGAAGGTGGGGGTTCACTCCCAATTGTACAGTGCTGTGCTGGGGTGGAATTCACCGCAAGTCTATCTCAGCCTTTCCTCAGGCTGAAAATGCTGGGTGGGCATTTTCTCAGTCCTGTGTGTAGTGTTAGTTCAGCGAGTTTCTGGATCTTGCCGAGGGACTTGCTCCATGTGTAGCTGTACATTTGGCGAGTCCGTGGAAGGCAGGCACTCGGTAGCTGCTTCTGTCACTGTGTGGGTCAGCTCCTCCTTGTCCTTCTCCTTACCATGAATGAGAACTTGATCTATAAAGAGTTGCTGCAGGCTCATCATCTGTCCCCCATTTTTAAACTTGTGACCATTGTCATTTTCATTGTAATGGTCCTCTGCATTGCTGGAAGCTTTCCCTAGAGTCATTTCTGTATTCTTGTATATTAAATTATATAGTTCTGCTTCAGCAAGATTGTCACATGTAGTATTTGTAAAAGCTAAAAATAGGGACTCACAGGGTTGTGCTATGCAGTCTAAGATTCATTGTGTGGATTCCTGTGATTACCTGTGAGGTACAGTGTGGCCTTATCAGAAACACTCCCAGATCAGAATCTCTGTGACACAGCCTGGAAGTCTGCAATTTTAACATTAAATTTTTAAAGTTTGAATTCACATTGCTCTCTAGAATTCATCATTGTTTTCATTGATATCTTTTGCCAGTTTTTACACCTACTAGTTCTCTTGCTACTTTTATTACTGGATGAACTTAATATCTAATTTAACATGCAACTCAATTTCTTAGCCACTGTCCTTCCTCAGAAGAAGACTGATACTGGTATTGGTGCTCTGATCCAGAGGGGCTGAAATATACATAAACAGCAGAAGCAACGGCAGTATCTTCCTTCTTTCTTTTCCCAAAATGTTGGCATTGGAGAGAGGGCACTCCGAGACTGGTTTGTAATTTGTACAAGTTCCACAAGTGATTTTGATACAAAAATTTTAAAATCTAATTTAATGAAAAAGTTGTGTAATTCTTTGATAGCTTTGTTATTTATCCTATTACTCTGTTACACCAAATTACACCAAATGAGAAGTAGAATGGCTTTTCTTATACACACGTTTAACAAATAATCCAACCGTAATTTAGACTTTAGCATTAATTATGGTTTCTTTTTCTCATAGGTGTCATCTTTAAGAAATGAAAAGCGAGGCTCATCTTATCTCATCTCTGCCCCAGAAGGTGGTTCAGTGGAATTTGTTGAGCAACACTCTCAGGGCACAGGAGCATATTACATGGAGACCTACTTAAAAAAGAAGCGCGTGTACTGAGTTAAGTTCGCCCCTTATATAACCTCGTAGGGTTCTTTGCAGTATCTCTGCTGTTCATCGCTGCCTTAACTACATTCATACTACCCATATCCTTTAAATACGGGTTTATAATTCCCCAGAAGGAACTGTGTTGTGCAGCAGGCAAAATTGCCAAATGAAAAGTAAGTAGCAATAAGAGGAGACATCAGTTGAGGACATTTTCCACCAGAATTAAATGCATCTTAATGTGATATTAACTTATAGTCCATTGCAGAAATTAACAATATTCCTTGTTTTAGGACTGGGAATAATTTTGACACCACATATGAAACTTTGAAGCAATAAATAGGAAACAGTCCTGTTTCCTAGGCCTTAGAAGAATGAATTTCTTACAAGCCATTGTACATTTCTATTTACATTCCCTAGAAGTAATCTCATTTATAGATTTTTAGAGCTTCTCCGTAGAACTATAAGAATACAAGTACAAAATGCAGCAATGGTAATGTAAAAACAAATGCTCTATGTGCAAACTAAATTATTCTCCCCACACCAGCCATGTAATAGGTATACACTACCACGGAGTCTTTACTTTTAATCTGTTATTAACCATTTATGCCTTTTGTGAAGAAAAATAAGGTATTTTAACAAAAGTAGCTTTGGTGATCTAATTTCAGGGGTTGGCAAACCATACCCTGGGGTTAAATTCAGTCCTCCACCTGTTTTTTGTACAGACTACAAGCTAAGAATGTTTACATTTTTAAATGGTTGGCAGAAAAGTGAAAATTTTTTGACTTTAAAATTACATGAAATTCAGACGTGCCCACACACGCCACTTCACTGGAACACAGCCACACTTCATTCGCGCGCACAGTGTCGGAGGCCGCCCTTGTGCTGCAGCAGCAGCGTCGCGCGGTTGTGGCGGAGACGAGAAGGCTTGCAGATGCCAGTGTGTGTCCTCTCTGGCCTTTTCCAGCGAGTTCGCTGACCCTGATCTGACAGTACTAATTGCCTAATCCTTTTACTTCACCTAAAGAAAGAACTTAACTTTTGCAGCTGATTTATAAGTGGCAATGAACATACGTTTCTGTCTCATTTCATGGCATAAGATAGTGATGACCTGATTACTAGAACAGGGCCTATTTTGGTCATTAAATTCATTATTTCCACAATATTATAGTGAAGCAGTCAGTACTGCCCTTTCTGAAGGAGTCTTAATGGAGTAACAGCATTTATAACCATTTTAAGCTAATAAGCTTTTACCTCACTCTCTGCTTTGTCTCTTATTCTTTTGTAGTATGTTAGGCTAAAAAATTGTTTATAACTTTTGACCATCACCATTTCCTGAAGACTTTGATATTAAATGCATGAGAAACCTTTTGCCATCTAGAAACATATGTAAGTTTGTTCCTTGTTATGAGACTGTAACTGATGATAAGGAGTTAAAGGGCCCCAATGATCAGTCTTTTTGAACTCAGATCATTAAATATCTTGTAATTTGGGGGACTTATTATTTTTGACCATGATAAAAGATACCTTGTTTTAATTATGAAGTTAAAAATTGGTGTACATGTATGATTTGTAAAGAATATTGGTCTAATTTATTGCATATATTAACCTTTTTTGGGAAATGACAGCTAGAAAACTAAGACAATTTCTAAGCAGCACACTAACTGATCAGGATAGGCTGCACTCGTTTATGACTCAGCAGATGAGTAATGGCGTCTCCGCGCTCTGTACTTCCTCCTGTTTTCCTGTTGCATTAAGCTTCTTCAATGCTTAGTCACACCTCTGTGATTGTACAGATGAATTTTAACTAAGAGCTGCAAAGTGAAAGTGGGACAAGGTGAAAGAAAAGCTATTTTGGATTGCAGCCCACGTGGATCTGTCACCTGTCCCGCCCTGTGCCCCACTGTCATTGGACGTAACAGATAAGTAATAAGGATAATCACCAACCCTCCCAAAGTCTATATTGTTATTTTTCTAAGTAAACAAATTGTTTGAAATGCTTTGAAAATGGAGTCTTAATATTAAAAGGCATATGCATGTGAAGTCTATAGTATATTTATTTGTATAAAGAGTAAACAAAGTGCATACAGAATGGACACAGGTTTGACACAGACACGTTGGTGATACAGGGTTATCGAACAGGCTTAAATGGCAAGTTTACTTTTGCCATTGAATCAATTCAGAACTCTTTTTCAGGCTCAAAAGGTGAAAAATAATGATGTCAAACAAATGCTAGACAGCATCAGTGGTTTTTCAGACTCTTAGTCATGAAGATCGTGTGGTTCATACTGAATCACACAGCAGACATCTTTGATGACCCAGCTACCCCCAAGCAAATGGGAAACTGTCTGGCGGATCCAGAACTCCATGATGCTGCTAGCAGGGTCTTGCTTTCAAGTTCTGTTGCCATAGGGCAGAGATTTTCAACCAGGTGGAAAGAATTTTTAAAGCATGCAACCCCTGATGACTGAGTCAGGGGCACTGACCTCTTTACTCTTAGACTATCAACTACAGAAATGACAATAGCCAGCACAACAGCTGTCCAGTGTGTATGAATCAAAAATCATACCTAATTTTTTAGTCAGATAGGCAAAAAATACATTTTTTGGTGTGTGCCATAGAATTTTAGTAATTAGCTCATGTGTGCCATGAGATGAAAAGGTTGAAAATCTCTGTCCTAGGGCGATGGTCAAAATAGGATCACTAAGTACTGAAACTCTCTATGAACAGTGCAATGTATGTGGTATGTATTCGGACTGGCTGCATCCTGCCTCCAAAACCATTGCCGTAATAGCTTGCCCCTAAGTGGTAGGCCTATCAAAGGATATACATATTGACATTTCTTAAAAGCATGTATAGTTAGCATCCATGTTCTTGGAATCAAGTTTGATTAAAGGTACACTGTTTAGGAGAGCACTGGCACAGGCTGAGTTCTCAAGAATGAACATCATGCAGCGAAGATCTATTCCACAGCTGTCCCCTGGGTCCAACCAGTTCTCTCAAAAAAAAAAAAAAAAAAAAAGTGGGGACCACAGGTCACCCAAGGGGACAGGAGCTAAGCCACTGAAGAAACAACTCAAAGTTCAAGTCCTACTGGTGAGAGGAATACAGTCGGCTTTGTATAGAAACAACAGTATGCTAACTGGTAGCTAATATTTCAAGAATGCTTGGTCTATCACTGTATAGATGATGAAATTGTAGGGCATGTTAGAGTATCAACTAAGTCTATTAATTTTTGATTTACGTGCCAGAGAACATTTAAAATCATCTGGCAGGTGGGAGAAAGCAATCAATCTTGTTGAGGTTTTGAAAAAATCCCATTCTGGTATGCAACTGGGATGGTGGCACAGCCTCTCCACAAGGAAGAGTGCTGATATTTTCGTTGTCATTAAATTTGGCATCAGTAACACAGTGACAAATGAAGAGGAAGTACTTACATGTACTAAGCACCGCAGTGTGCCTTATACATGGATACGTACCCAGTATCTTTTTAGACAGAAAACAGTTTTTCCATTAAAATTATTTTAAATGGCTTGGGTATTTGGGGGGGGTGGGGTAAGGGGAGGAACTGATACACAGTGGGCTTTAAATGTTATTCATGCTCCTTATTTTAGAAGTGCTTCAAATCCTTCAATGAGGTTCTGAAAGGTTGTCCGATTAGATGGTTGGAATTCCCAGCATTTTCTCATAAGTTGATAAACCTGTAAAAAAAGAAAAACAGTAAAAGTAAAATGTTAAATTTGGGAGCTTTATAAAAAATTACAGATACATTAAGACTAAGAAAATTTTGGAAATGTAAATGACTTAAAGCCAGATAAGAATATTAGAATAATTTAAAATATAATGTCATAACTATAGTTCATAAATATCTTAACATTTGAGAAGCTCATGGGTTAAATGGCCTTTAAAAAATTCAGGTCATTCATACTGTAAACCAATTTAAGGGTAAAGTTGTATCTCACTTTAGGCTCTAAATTTCTACACTAGATTCAATTCACTTTAGAATACAGAAACTGAATTCATAAATGCTACTAAGTGGGATGAACTTCTGGACAAAACGCAGTTACAGGTATCTGTCACTACCGAGCTACCCCAAAGTGTGCTCCTTCAGGGTACTTCCAGTGCTGAGACTACTTCTGGAGGGAATCCGTGCTTTGAACATAATTTCTGGCTGTTGTCTGGCCCAAAAATGATTTCTCAAATATCTTATCTGAAATTCAGCTTCGGAAAATGATTTTAAAGGAATTTTCTCCTTCCTGCTCTTCCCACCCCCATCCCTTGCTGGATAACTCAAGCTGTGAAAACATAATAAAAATTGAGTTCTATAACTGTAAAGTGGCCCAACCCATAAATACCTCATCTGGACAGTTAGGTGGACAAGGCAAACGTTTTCCTTCTTTTAATGTATTCACAAGTCTTGTTACTGTCATCTGGCCGTGAGTGGGGCCTATCATTTTCAGGAACAACTATGTGAGTTAAAAAAAAAAAGTTTTATTTTGCACATATTTATATAAACACAAATAGATTAAGGTGAAATTACTAGAATTAACTGGAAATTAAAATAATAAAATGACTTTTCTCCTTAGTAATTTGAAATGAAAGTCCAAAATCCTTTTTAGCTCTTGCCCATCAGCCTGCAGCCTCTCAGGATCAACCAACCACTCCTTCTGGTTGAGGAGCCTTTTCCAGGAAGAACAACCTCATTTAGAAACACAGGAGGCTCAGACAAGGCTCGTACCCAGTGCTTGTTCACACAGTTACAGACCCTTGGACATCAGGGTTGTCACCCTGGCCAGGTGGCTCAGTTGGTTAGAACAGTTATCCTGGAAACCCAAAGGTTGTGGGTTCAATTCCGGGTCAGGGCGCATCCGGGAGGCAACTGATCAGTGTTTCTCTCTCTCTAAAAATAAGTAAAAACATCCTCAGATGAGGATTAAAAAGTACAAAGAAAGTCAGGGTTTTTTTTTTAGAGAACTCTGGGCTCCTTGTGAAAGCAAGACTCGACAGAGCCACAAGTAAGTGTCAAGTAACAAACAAGTTAAAGCAAAGACAGACACTTTTACTTTTCATTATAACACACCAGCTGGATTCTATTTAAGGACAAAACTTACAAAGCAGAGGATGTTCGAATAAAGACAAGTACAACTCACCGCCATGGGACTGGAGTCCGAGTCACAGTACGTAAGCAGCTCGTGCAGAGTCACTCCGAACGACCAGACGTCAGAGGCGATATAGAACTTACACTGAATTAAACACTCCGGAGCATACCTAAAAAAGAATGGACCAACATGAAACTCCCATTTCCTGGGAAGGATATTCCAACAGATACCTCCAGAGCAACTCGGAAAAACCACCTTTGATGTTTCTTAGAATTTAGTATTCTAAGACATGTAAGTATGTGTTCATCACTAGAGGCTGCTGCTCTCAGTAGTACAGATGGGCTCCAGAACAACAGTAAGGTGATTTGCACTCTCCACATTGAGGAAGCCGATGCACGTAACAACAGGCCCCAGGCTCTCTGCCTGCACGCTCAGAATGAGTCAGCAGGGACCCCCTTGCCCACTCCTCTTCCAGTGTCAGTAGTTCTGATGAATGATATCCAAGTGCCTAAGCCAGCAATTGAGGCATCCCCAAATCCAATTTCCTAAATACTTCTCAAACCTACTCACCTCCTTTAGTACCCCCACCCCCAACTGTTCTACTTCACACCATCACTAGCTCCAGCGCAATCAGGCCCTGGCTCCAATCTCAACTCCTCGCCATTCCACAGTGATCTTTTTAAAACAAAAGCCCTCATCCTAACACCCCCTCTCCCCAGGGGCAACCCAAAGCTCTCGGGATGGCACCCGAGCTCTGCAGCTCAGTTTCCAGTGTTCTGTGTTAGCCCACCCCTGAGACAGACCTCCTGCCTCACACTCTAGCCACCCTCGGGCTGAGGTCAGTTCCTGAACAGCCACTGCTCTCGCCTCATCCTGTGAGTCACACATGCCTCCTTCTGATGTCTTTACAAAGCCCTGTGGAACTTTTAAGGTTTTATAGTTAGGACTTCCAGAAACCCGAGTCTGAAGCCCCGTATACGTATGGTATCACGAAATTGGCTGCCTCACCCATTAAATTCGGTCTGCTTGTTTGTGTCTTGACACATGTTCAATGAATGAATGAATGAATGAAGGTTTCGGCTCTGTGGGTGGGAGAGCTCTGTTTGTGTCTCTGTAGGATGTACCTCCCAGGTGTGATTAGTTTTATGGAGGTAATGGAGTATGGGGTGGACCCTGAACAACTTCTCTCCTGGATAGTGTCCCAGGCAGACAGGGGTAGAAGTCAAGTATGACATTCTGACCTGGGTACCTTGGTGCTTCATGAGAAGACGGCCAGGTTTCCCCTGGACTTTGCTCTGCTCTGTCCAGGATCTCCTTGCATCTGTTCCGTGCCTACTTCATCGCCTCACCGCTTCCCCCTTCTCTTGCCTGCCCTGCCTCTGTGGGGATGTGCCTACTTCAGCTGCTGACAGTTCTGAGAACTGTGCTGGACAAATGCCCTCTCCTGGGAGGCTAGAGATGGGATGCTGATTAGATTTCTATACTCCTTGGTGTCATACAAAGTTCAGGCATTTCTCTGTGCATTGCTTTCTGTAAACACAGCCCAAAAGCTATTTCTTGAAAGCAAAGATCAATCAATTCCAAATGTTCTAAGTTCTTTCTGACCTTACGAAACAGCAGAAACCCTATGAAACACTGATGAAATCAAACTGATGCAGTTACCAAAACACAGGGCTGTCCCGGTCGTCCTTGACGGTGTAGTACTCCTTGTCGGTTTCAATTGCTTTGGTTAAACCAAAGTCTCCAATTTTCACTTGGTGCTCACTCTCAACAAGGACATTTCTTGCTGCCAAGTCCCGGTGGACGTACTGTCGTGAACCCAAATAGTCCATCCCCTGAAGGAGAGAAGTAAAGGCAGAGTTGCTGAAGGTCAGTTTAGACTGTATTTTGTATTCTCACTTCATAGCAAAAAAACTATAATGAAATTACAGTGTCATTTCATTTTACATATCACTGATTTTTTTCTTTTGGTTTTTACTTGATGCAAAAATAGTAAGACCAACCTGATTGAAAGAAAAACACATTAAATCAGCTATACTTAACAAATCAGTTTTTTAGTAGAGGCTAATTGTTCATCCAAATCATGTAGAGCAAAATTAACTCAGTACAATTACTGGAAAGTCTAATTACAAACCATTTACTCAGGGCTGAGTGCCTGATTTTTTCATCTTTAACATGCTTTTTTATTATTTATTTTTACCTTACAAATTTGAACGGCATATTTTAACTGCTGTTTGAGGTTAATTTTGTTCTTATTCTTTGGAAGATATTCCTTAAGGCTTCCTGAAGGCAGAAATTCCATGATGAGCTTGATACCATTTCCTCCTGTATTTAAAAAACAAACAAAAAACCCATCAGTACTGGGTTCCCAAAGGAAGGAACTGTGGAAGAGCAGAAGGCACACGATCTGGAGAAATGGGACCTGAACTGATTTCAGCACCACCTCTGAATGACAGGCAAGTCACTCAATCTCTCAAGCCCCACAGTCATCAGCATTCACTGAAATAATACAGTGATAATTTTTTTAAAAAATGTAAGCCATGTCATTTCACTACCAATTTTAAAGTACAATACAGGAGTCCTGTGCTGGCTTTCAGATAGATACAATTCTTAGTAAATACTATTTGCCGCCTTGATTTAGACAACTAGAAAACAAAATATCCTGGCTAGTGTTCAATCACAAGACTGGGGAGGGGTGGCTATCAGTTTAATGTGCCCCAGGTGCCAATATGTGGATGGGTGAAGATCGGTCCCTGGTGTGGGTGTGGGTGTGTGAACCGCCTGGGAAGACAGTGCTGGAATCAGCCCCTGGCTGAGTGGGAGGCTGAGCAGCTTCCCTGGGAGCTCTGCAGCTGCTGAGGGGTGTCACAGCACGTAGGACTTCAAAGTCCTAGAGCCCATGCAGGCCATGAGCTAGCACACGTTCAGGGTGGCCCAGGTAAAGCCATGGGCACTGCCAATTCAGTGCTGGCCCTTATGACCCCACTTGTCTTTCACAACACTGCACAACATACCATCTTCTGTGCAGATGCCTTTGTACTTCACAATGTTCTCATGATACAGGTTCCGTAAGATTTCGATCTCCTTCTTCAGATCGGCTATGTGGTTACCTCCACTCTCAGGCTTCAGAGATTTGACAGCCACTTGCTCCCCTGTATTGTCCCCTTCAGGGTCATAGCGGCAGAGTTCAACCTTCCCAAAGTGGCCCTGGAGGGAAAGATGCAGCTGTCTGGTTAGAAGCTATTTAGAAGCCCAGCCTAGGCCAGCAGGACACAGAAAATGAGGTGCCATGGCCTCAAGAACACCCAGTGGGGAAAGGGTATCTGTTCAACAAATGGTGCTAGGAAGACTGGAAACACATGCAGAACAGTAAAATCAGACCCGATCTCACAGCACTCAGAAAAACGAACTCAAAATGGATCAGACTTAAACATAAGACCTAATGCCATAAAACTCCCATAAGAAAACATAGGGAAGAAGCACATCAATGTTAATACTGGAAATAATTTTCTGTACATGATGTCAAGAGCCCAAACTACAAAACAAAAATTAGCAAATGGGACATCAAACTCAGAAGCTTCTGCACAGCAAAAGAAACAATTAACAAAATGAAAAGGCAGTCTACAGAATGGGAGAAATACTTGCAAACCATATATTGGGTAAGAGTTTAATACCCAAGACACAAAGAACTTAAGTTACATAATAAAAAAAAGTAAAACCTGAACTTGATTAAAAAATGGGCAAAAGAATTAAATCCTTTCCAAAGAGGACAGCAAAACGGCTAACAGGAGCATGACAAGATAAACGTCACAGGAGGTGCACATAAAACCCACAATGAGCTGTGACTTCACATCTGCCAGAGTGGCCGTCGTCATCAAGACAAATGCCAGGTGCAGGTGAGGGTGACAAAAGGGAGCCCTTACTGCTGGTGAGAAGGCTCATCTGTCCAACTCAATGGAAAACAATATGCAGGTTCCTCAAAAAAATTAAAAATAGATCCGTACGATCTGGCAATTCCACTTCTGGGAGTGTGCCCAAAGGAAGTGGAAAGGGAGTTCAAAAGTCTCTGCACAGCCGCGTCCGTCACAGCGCTATTCACAACAGCCATGATATAGGGAAGAAAACCCAAATGTCCATCGATGGACGAATGGGTAAACAGGGTGTAATACACGTAGCAATGGAATAGTATTCAGCCATGAGAAAGGATAATTGTGGATTATAAATGGATCTTGAGCACATGCGTAATGAATCAGATTAGAGAAAAACAAATACCGTGTAATAGCACTGTTTGACATAGTGAAACAGTAGTTACCAGGAAGTAAGTGGTGGGAGATGTTAAAACTGATGATTTCCAAGGGTATGAACTTGTAACAGGTACTAAAATAATCACAGAGATTTAGTGTGCAGTACACTGAATGCAGACAGTAATACTGTGCTGTAAGTATGTAATGTGATACGTGATTATGTGGGCAGCCATATTACAATATATATGTGTCAAAGTAGTACACACTATACACCTTAAATTTACACAATGTTACATGTCAGATTTTCCCAATTAAAAAAAAAGATGAGCCTTGCTCCCCATGCAGTTGCCCCAGAGGCCGGGGTGAATGGCACAGCCTATTCTCGCAGTGGCTGCCCCTGCTGGCTTCTGCGCCATCGCCACGGCCGTGTCCTCACGTGCCATCCCGTTACTGAGCTGAGACCAGGGAAGTATCACTGACTGGAGAACCAACATACCAATCCAATTTCCATGAAAATGTAACCCAAAGAAAATGAGGGTTTTTTTGGACATGTAGGACTGACGACTGTGGCATTCCTGGAGAGCCACAGGCCCACCCCCCAGGAGAGGCACCACGGGGTAGCGGCAGTGAGCACTGCACGAGGAGTCTTTGGAAGACGGAATCAGATCCCAGCTAAGCCATTTGACAGTGATGCCAGCCCAGCCACCACATCTCGAGCTGGTCTGGAAGTGCTCAACGTCCACAGTAGTAGTGAACCCTCAGGGTACTGTGCGGGGCTAGGGACACTGTGCTCATAAAATACCCAGCACATAGTCCGACACACCTCAGAGACTCAAGGCAGGACACAGCCTTGTATACTTAACTGGACTACAGAAAAATCTGCATGAAGATGCAAATCCAAGTATTTTCTCTATCATGTGAACTGTTAGGAAACTCTCCTTTGAGGTCCAAAGGAAAGCTGACATTGGCTTTCTGTGTAGTAAATCCATCCCTCCCTTAAGCAGCCTCACAGGACAGAGATTTTCTGTTTCCATCACACCAGTACCTGCTCCCCATATTGCTCCCTTTCCACTCTCTGTCTCTTAGAAAGAATGTCCTGTGTATATACAGCCACATGTGCATGCTGGCACTATGTGAGTGACATAATTCCTTGTGATACTAGTAGCCCAAAGAAAATGCAATAGATACTTATAAAAACTTTGACCCCAACTGAGAAAGAGTGGAGAGCTGCTTTAAATGCACAAAGAGGTGAGGTGGTCAGCAGGGTGCTAGGATGTAACTTGCCTCTCCCAAGTCACGGATCCTCTTTAAGAACCGCTTTTCGAAATGTGTGGGATCCACCTCGGTTGCTGGCTTTTTTTCTGAAACAATGTCTGGATCTAAGGGAGGAAAAAAGAAAGCATTAGAAAGATATGACTGTCACTCACAGGCTCCGAGTTATCCCGGCCACCCTAACAGCTCTCCACGGCGTTGGCTGATCTGGTTCCATAGCGCAAGGCAGTGTCTTACTCTGCTCTTCCAGCTTGTTGATGTCTCTCATGATGGCTCGGAAGAAGGGCCTCTGATTGGGGTCATAGTTCATGCAGCGGGTCATAAGGTCAGCCAGCTCCTTACAAGATGGTGTCACTGGTCGGCACCGGCTTTCGTAGAATCTCTCTTTCTGTAAAGAAGAGGACTACGTGGAAGAAACAGAAGGAACCTGCCACAAACCTGTCAGCCCCAGGTTATGGGGAGTAACCAACCCCTCGTTTAGTTTCCAACAGCTCTGCTCAAAGGTAGATTCCATGTGTGTGACTGTTGCCTTGTTCTAGCTTGGGAAGGCCTGACACTAAAATTATCTGAAACCGAACAAGCTGCTTTCCAGTAAAGCTATGCAACCTTTCTGGGATACAGTTTGACAATATGTATAAGAATCTCCAGATTCTTCAAACCCTCGGACTCACTAATCTAAATTATTGTATGACTTGGCAATAAATCAGATATAAGCCAAGATTGATATGTCAAAGTATCTCCTGCAGAATTAGGACATTTACAAATTAGAGTTCAAAAGAGCAATCAACTTACATTAAATTTGTAAAACTGTAAAGTTTATCTAATCACATAGGAAAGTACTCAATTGTAAATGAAAATACGTAACACATGTAACTATATCTAGCATGGCCCCAATTTTGTTTAAAAAACAGATATTAACAGACTGGAAGACAATATGACAGTGTTAAATAGTAGTCAGTAAAGAAAATAGCTATCACCATATTCTTGTAAGTTTTGTATATTTTTCAATTTTCCTTCAACTTCATTAATTTACAAGTCAAATAATTGATGCCACTTCAAAAAAATTAAGTGAAATCACTACACTCCAGTTTATCCGGAGCTGAATCCCAAGAGTACCGTTCCTCTTCTGGTTCTCCTGAGGGCAAGCAGGTGGGGGGGGGGGGGCAGGGGGCAGGCAGGCCCCGGAGGAGCAAGAGGAGGAAAAAAGGGGGGACACTGGAATTGAGGAGGTGACAGTTGCCCTTACCTCTGAGTGTCACTCCCCCTCCCCTGCTGTCCAACCCAACCAAGGGCACTTGGGAGGAGGTGGGAGGACTTCTTTTATCAAAGGCACATACCCTTCCTTATACCATCCTGTATCCTGCTCAGCCCTGGGTACACAGCAGGTGCTCAATAAATAGTGACTGACAGCAAAGTGTATGTTGTCTTATTTCCCAGGAAGTTCAAAATAAAATGATTTCCAAAAGCCTAGGCTGATAATTCCAAACTGATTTACAAGTCTGATGGTTTCCCCATTGGCTTTAGTTTAACTCCTCTTTCCCAGGTTCTGCACCGTCTTTACCTGGCAAAAGGTTAATTGGTTACAGGTTCTCCATCTTCAATAATCTCCAACATACGCAGCCACCACTCCGGATGCCCTCTGCCACTCCTATTTCTGCCTTGCAGCAGGAGCCCCCTGCTGGTCTCTCCTCAGCCTGCCCAGCCACTGTGTCCAGATGAACTATTCCCAAGCCGGCCTCTGACCACCTCACTCCTCACCCAAACCCTTCCATTTACCACGTGACCCCTCCCCCCAGTAAAATTCCTGGAATTTGGGGCTTTTTACAGTCTGATGGCAGATCTCTTTCCAACCTGATCACCTGTCATAACTCCTAGGCCAATGGAACCGCTCACTGCTTCAGTGCCACCTTCCCCCCAGATCTCGATCATCCCTGCCTGCTGAATTATGTCTACACCTCTATACACAGGCATATTCCAATAATCGAATCCCTGGGCCACAGTCAGTGGTCCTTTATTGTTATTTTTACTATTTTACCCCTTTGAGGTTAAGTCTCTACTCTTTCCACAAGTAAATGTGAGAGGTTCAAGCCTCACCTGTTTTACATCCTACCGGGGGAACGCAGGTGAGTGTGTCTTGGGCTGCCTGCATCTCAGTTACCTGGCCTGTGTAACGGGGGTGGCGGCACTGTCCTACCTAACTTGCAGAGCTCTATGGTGACAGTTTCAGATACTATGGAAGCCTTATTACTGTTACTTTGGCCTAACTCTCCTACCATGTCCTCAAGGGAAGGCAAGGCCTGTGTCTGTCTTGTTGTGAGCCCCCAGTTTTTACCTAGGACAATATCTGTTACAAGTAGAAACTCAATAAATACCTGTTAATTTTGCTGATTAACAGGCACTTAAAATCTCAGATAAATACTACCATAATGATCAGCTGAACATATATTGTGTGCTTGGCACTCTACATGCATTATTTAGTTGATATTCACAACAACCCTACAAAGTGGGTCTTAGGTATACCCATTGTAAAGATGCTGAAATAGAGGCCCAGGGCGGTTAAGTTACAGTTGCTGGGTCACATAACCAGTAAGCCTGTGGAGGGGATTCAAACCTGGGTCCATCTCTTCCTACAATATGAGGCTTCTCGTTAACTACTGAGACGTCCATGTGACTCCGAGGAGCCTTCACTCAGCTCACACCTTGGGAAACAAAGGCTCACCTCAATCAGAGTCTTGTCTTTCAGGGGGATCTCGCCATTGTAGCAGATTTCCCAGAGTGTGGTTCCAAAGCTCCATTTGTCAGCAGCCACGCTCAGGTTCTTGGAGTCTTCAACACACTCAGGAGCAATCCATGGGATTCGTTCTATGCATTCTGCCAAAAGGTAGCAGACATGTACAGATCAGTTTCTGAAGTCACCTGGGGAGTGAGTCACGATCACTGCAGCAACAACTGTGAGCTGACAGACTATTTCAAGTCTGTTTTGCAAACAAATCCAGGCCCCTCATTCCTGGCATTTTGGATGCATCAGTCTGAGTCAGCGCTAGCAGATGTGTCCGTATCCCAAACTCCCCGGGAGAGTTTGTGCAGCCAGTCTTCTGAAGCTCTGGCCTCAGAAACAGCCAAGCACCCAGGATGGAGGCCCACACTCTGAGGAGGGAGAACATGTGGAGGAGGAGGAGGTCATGTGGACAAAGGCTTAAGAAAAAAGAGAAGTCGGGAGCAGAGGCTAAGTTACGCAGAGCAGGCATGGGCTAGTCTCACGTACTCTGCACAGTCACCCTGCAATGTTATGTTGGTTTTATGTGGGTTTTGTTTGGGAAAGAAAAAGGGAAGGGAAGACTGAGGCAAAGAAGTCCCATGTCCCCTAACCCTAACCCTCAGCTGGCACAGTGGCCTCACAGCATAGCCTCCTGGCTCCTTAGGCAGCAGGGCCGTTCCTGCACAGGGTGTGCACCATCAGGCCCACGTGCCCTCCCTTCTCTGCCTTCTCATGCCCTGACACAGGCACATGCAGGTGGTTCTCTATGGTCATGTACCTGCCATCACCTTCCTGCAGGCCCGCCTCCCAGAATCACCCCCTGTCCTCCTCTGAATGCCCACAGCATCTGTTGTGGGGTACGCAGGCTTCTCCACGTGTTCTGGAGTCATCTGTGTCTGTGCCTCTGGCCTATGCTGAGGACAGGCCCCCTGCAGATGGACTACTGGGTGATGGCCCGGTGATAAGCACCCCTTCTAAGGAGTGAATGATTGGGGTCCTATTTGTAAGGCTTGCTTTTTCATCCTTGTTCCCTTCCAGACTTACCCCAGTGTTTGAATTACTGAGCAAAACTTAGAGCCAGGCACTATGCTCAATGCCGAAGACTACTGGCCATCACCAGCCGATGGCACACTGGTTTCAGTGCCTCGGCTCCCAGGTCACTTTCTCGGACAAAGCCCACATCCTATGACCACCTCATTCAGAGAGAAAATGCAAAGCCACAGTGATCGCTCAGGTGCCTCTTGCAAACTGCTTTCTGAGTCCAGGGGTTTCAACAGAAATCAGGGGAGCCCCAGGAGGCCCAACTCCTGACACCTCTCTGACCACCTCTGGACCCAGCGGCCTCCCTTTGTGCTAACCCTCCACCTTGAACACAGCTCCTGAATTGCAAGGACCAGATGTACCTCCAGTGAGTTGTCTGTTTCTCCTACTGCACGGTCAGCTCCTTCAAGGAAACATCGGCCAACCCTCCTTATATGCCACATCTTCCCAGCTCCCCAGGGCACACCCATTTGCTGAAGTGTACTTTCTAAAAGGAGACAGACTCCCAGTCCCCTTCTGCCTGCTGGCCCGACCCTGCCTCCACATGGGGGCAGGGAGAAAGGGGAGATGGGTGGCGGTGGGGATGAGGTCGCACACCTTGCCTGGACAGCACAGTGATGGGGATGCCGGGGTCGCTGAGCTTGATGAAGGGGCCGCACTCGCTGTCAATGCCCTCTCGGGCCAGGAGGAGGTTTTTAGTGCACACGTTTCCATGGACCAGGTCTTTATCCTCCTGCAGAGTAGAAAGGGTGAGCTCACAAAGCTGCCTCTGGGGCTGCCTGACTCCATCCTTCCCACACTCCCTCCATTTCCAACCCTGACCCCTCAGATCAATCTCTCCATGTTCCCCAGCCACAGCCAGACCTAGGAGGCCTGGCTTGCCTACATACTGTGTGACTCAAGCACATTATACCTTGTGCCCCATCAGAGAAGCAGGGATAATAGTGCAGCATGCCTCACAGGGCTTTTGTAAGAGTTAAATGGATTAGAACCTGTAAAAACCCCTCAACAGCTGAACTCAATAAATGAGAGCTACTGCTGATGCTGGTAGTTTTATTCATTCACATTAATTCATTAAGTATTGCACCATTCCTTCCCTTACTGTACACTGCATGGAGAAATCAGGCCTCTGACATAATAAGAGTTCCCTCCTCTAAGCAAAGATTTATACGTGTGGAGCTCATGGAGCGGCCCAAATGACCATTTGCATTAAACACCAGGCAACCCTGTGTTTAACCACCGTCTGGGCCACTCCAGCTTGCTTGGCTATGCTTGGCTAACACCTCCTACCTACCACCCTGTGCTGGGACACCCTGGTTCCTGGTGGACCACCATGGACATCACATCAGAACACACTTACCAGGTAACTCAGGGCACTGGCCAGCTGTTTAGCAACTTTGAATTTCCATGGTGTGGTAAGGACATCGCTTTTCCGGTGCATGAAGAGATCCAGAGGCCCTCCTTCCACAAATTCTTCCACCATGATATCTACAAGCACACAAAAAGCCACATCTGGAACTTCTGTGTGCCTGAGATCATACTTTCCCTCATTCCCTTACCAGAGCTCCCTTTACTGGCTGGTACTTGGCTTGGGAGGAGGCAAACATCCTCGGGAGGAGCAGATGGCAGAGAGAATCAGAGCTGGACAAGCCTGGCTTCAACCCCCACCCAGAGCTTCTTGCACAGCGACTCACAGGGGAATAAACTCAGCTCATTCACATAACCACCCAGGGCCCAGAGTTGGCACGAAGTAAACATCCAAGATATGAGTGCAAAACAAAAGGGATTTAGTTCCATGTCTACTATTAACTTAAACAAGTGATCTGCTCAGTACCTCAAATTCCTTGACTGCAAAAGCCAAGGCAAGGAGCCTGGACAACAAGAAGAGCTACCAGCCCCCAGTCATCTGCACAGCCCCCACGCCCCCAGCCAGGGCCAACCACCCCTTCCAGAGAGAACACACTTACTCTCCACGTCCCGGACACAGACGCCGTAGAGGTACACGATGTGTTTGTGGGAGACCTGTCGCATCATGCTGGCTGCCTCGAAGAAGGCCTGTGGGAGGACAGCACAAAGGAGTGTCAAGGTCTGACCCCAAAGGGGCCCTGCTGAGATCAAAAGCTGATGGATTTTGGGAAAGCTCACAACTACCACCACCCTGGTCCTGCAAACTGCCCCCTGGCCTTGACTGCCCAAAGGCATTGTCACCCTTCACCTTGACACCAACCTGGCTGGGAGGTAACCTTAAAAGGATACAGAGCCAGGCTGGTGGGGCAGGCTAGCTGACAATTCCCCTCACTCGCTACTCATGCCCAACCCTTACTTGCTCTTCCTTTAAGCCCTGGGAAATAACAATGCTCTGCACTATGTTAGAATGCTAGGGAAACCAAGGCAGCAGACCTTTGTCAAGGCACGGCTTTATCACTAATAGTCTGCGGGGTCCCGGGCAAGTTTTTACTTCTCTGGGCTTTAATTTTCCAGTCTGTGCAGATTTTAATAGCCCTCACTACACCAGGGACTCCGAGCCCACTCAGGAATAGTTCTGGGGCACAAGGACCTCTGGGTGGGAACTGGGAGGGGAGTGGGAGGGCTGCTCAGTCCTCTTCATCTTCAGTCCTCCCTCACTATTTTACATACCGGTTTACTTAAGATTACATCTGAAAGAAGGAATTGCATAAAAGACAAGTCTGGAAACTATAAATAAGGTCAAAATAAGGTGAAGGTTCTTCCCAGCCCACTGTGTTCCACTGGTTCCAGAAATGGAAGGGGGCAGAGATGGGGTTGCAAAGAAGGCACTTGCCAGAGAAATGTCCCTGTGGCTAGGGTCTAAGACTTTGAGGATCACTTTTATTTTCTTCTCCTCAGAAGTTCCTTCGTCGTCCTTGTAATCCACCAGGGTCCCAGAGTAGATGTGCGTCCGCGTGCCTCTCCCAAGGTGCTCACCCTGAGGAGGAAGCCAGAAGTCAGGGGGACTGCTCGCTGGGGCTGCTGGGATGCCTGAGTCTGGGACTGAGGCCTGGAGGGGGACGCAATGCCAGACAGGGGTGGGGCAGAGGCTGAGGGGCTCCAACAGCTCTCGACCTCTCCAGTACCTTGTCCTGGTCAGGCCTACAGAGGAAACTAAAAGCTACTTGGCCAGTTGGTACCCTTCCTGGGCCCCAGGCAACAGTCCACATATTCCCAAATATTCCTTCCTTTCCACTTCTAGGAACACCCTGTGGCCAAAACATAATCCTGACCTATCACAAAATTTCCAGCAGTGCTGCAGTAGCCACAGACATGGGCCCCACATGTGGCCTCCAGAGCAGACCTGGGGAGGACCCCACTGGAGGCTTTGCTCACAGGCTGCAGTACAGGCATAGGGGATTCTTAGTCCTGGCTCTACTGGCTGCTGGCCATTTAACTTAGGGACATTCTTCTACCATGCTCAGTGTCTGCCCGCTTTTGATAAGTGGGAATAATAATGGTACCTGCCTCACAGGACTATAAGAACCAAATGAGAAAATAGGTATAAAGGCTCCTGGTACAGACCCTGGCATGTGGTGGGTTCCAGCCAATCTGCTGGGCCAGTAGGTTTTGTTTGATTGCCCCCAGACCAGGTGCCCGCGATTTCTTACACGCAAACTGTTCATCTTCTACCCATACATCCAGGGCATGTGCACACCTATGCACACTTTAAAATTAGTGATGCAATGTACACATGTCTGCCCTAGCCATCCCACAGAGGCGGTGCTGTGAAGACACAGGCATGCCGGAGGGATAGTAGTTCCCTTGCATATGAGAATGGATAATATCCCCCAAATGAGTGGTACGAGGACTGAATGAGGACATCTGCACAAAGCCCTTAGACATAATAATCTAAGGACTTTCCCCAGTTTAAGCTTGAATAATCCTGATCTAAACAATCTTCATATTTGGAAATCAAGGTGTTACTCATAAATTTTAGGCACTGTCGAGTTATTGTAATTAACCCCACAGAACTTGTAAATTGAAATTCTATTATTCTAGGACCCCTATAAATGCAGAAAATGGATGGTGGCTGACTCCTAGCCTGATTCCTGGCCCCCACAGGAATGTACACTACCATTAGTCGGGTATATTAATTTGTACAAATGCCACCATTTGTCATCTGTCATTGCAGAATGGCAATACATCTGCCCTGTCTCCCGTATCCTGGCAAGGGCCTATGACTATTCATTAAACTGCATCTGTCATGAAGCGATTCATCAACGTTATGGGAAGCTGTGTTCCCAGAACATTCCGTAAAAGCCATATGCTCTCAGAATAATTACTCTTCCCCAGAAGGGTTACTTGTTCTAGTGGCCAAGTCATAGCACCATGCTGTTGGGCTGCCACAGCAACCCCCAGAGGACCTGCATGTCCCACGTCCGCCTCCTTCCACGCAGCACCCCCCTGCTTTTGCTTGGCACTTGCTCTTCACCCTCTGGGGCTCTACTTTGATGCCACTTCCCCCAGGAAGCCATCTCAGTCCTCCTAAGGTTAGGTGGGATGACTGTCTCTGAGAGTCCCACATCCTGCTGTCCTTCCCTACTCAGGACTATCTCTTGATGATATAATTATCTGCTTCAGACAGACAAGGTCCGCCTCCTGCCCAGACTGGTGCCTGCCTGCCTGCGGAGAGTGCAGTCGTGCCTGGCACACTGCAGTGCTCTAACACATGCTCAAACACAGCCAGCTAAGTGGTCGAGGCAAGGGGGATGGCCTTTATCTGCCCAGCAGCTCCAGGGGAAGGAAAGAAGGAAGGCTGCAAGTATATGTCAAGTTCTAGACAGAAAAGAGGCTGGGCTACTGCTGCTCTGGTGACTTTAACCTCAACACAGCTGACACCACTGAGGGACAATAAAGACCGGCCTTCTGTAAAGAACTTAACAGTAATGGAAGTGAAGCAGCTGTAGCTATGGACTTCCACTCCCTCAAACCTTACCCAACAACTTCAGGAATTTAGTTAGCCAGCTAACAAACCAACTACATGCCCACCGCCCTCCACAGACTCCTTCGTGGCAGTGAGGCCATGATGTGCCCCCCAACGCCCCCACGGTGTCAGAGCCTCTCCCAGGTGGTGAAAGGCCCTGTGCCTAGTCCTCCTCTCCAAGGCTGCTGGATGCTGCCCCAGTGTGTGGTTCTGTGTAAGGGGGCTGGAGAAGGGGTACAGCACAGAAAGTGGGGATCCCCTGGGCCCCGCACCCCTAGCCTAGGCCCCAGGGTAGCTAAGAGGGAAACTGAGCCTAAGGCTGTAGACTCTGAGCTTCAAGGCCTGCCAAGGATGGGACACTGCACTGGGATCTGTTTCTTTAGACAGTTATTCCCCTGTGTTCTGTGTTCCCCAGCTATGGTCCTTCGGGAAGCATCATCAGAAAGTCCACACTAACCTTGAGAAGTACTTCATCACATAGCATGTCATGAGGCAGTAAGATCCTTGAACCCAAGACCCCCCACAAAGCCTGGCTAATCCACTTCCTTCAAGGAGAAAGCCTCACGGGAAAGCATCAGCAAGGCAGGGTTCTGGTTAAATGGCTTTAACTCTGAAAGGAAAGTCTCTGTGTTCCTTTTCCACCAGCATTTGCCCAAATCCCAACTTTATTCCTCCCAAGTCCCCAGGCTGCTCTGCTGAAGGGAGGCAGGACCAAAGCTGGAACCAGGAACTGCAGCAGTGACTCACTTGCATAATGTCTTTCTTGAGGATCCGATCGAAACTCAGCTGACTCATGGGGTAGACAGGCTGCCATTCCTGGGCTTTCTTGGTAGCCACCAGCAGATTGGAGATTTCTGTGGAAGAGAGTGGATAAATCTCAGTGGAGCAGTAAAGGCTCGCAAATGCAGTCAGGCAATGTCTGCTGAGCCAGGGGGCTTGCTGAACACTCATTTGTGCATTGTTGGTTGAGTCATCCAATACATATTTATTGAGTACTTTATTGCTGCGTCCAGGAGCTCACAGCTAATAACACAGTCAAACCAATCAGGTAAAGAATCATCAAAGGAAAGCTACAACTTGTGCAGTTACTTGAGGGCAGGCACAGGTGCTGCAGGCTGACGCAGCAGGACCTGCCCCAGGATGAGGTCAGGAAGGTTTCCCCACGGATTTTCTGCTCTACTTCTACAGTCTGGTGCACAGGCACTCAGTAAGTATATTTGTTCAATGAGTGAATGAGTAATTGGGGTGTGAGCCGAAGGATGTGAGCTGTGGAGGGAGAAAGAGGTGGCATGTTGGGAACAAGGAGGGTGAGAAACACTGGCTTTGCACAGAACAGGGCAGGTGGTCCAGACAGAGGGTTGTGCCTGAACCTCTCTGAGCTCCCCCACTGCCGGACGCCACAAGGCACTTACCAAATACTTGCTGCCTGTATGGATTATGAGCAGACCACCCTCCAAATTCTACTGATTCAAACAGCAAACTGGATACATTACGGAGTCTGCTGGGCCCGGGTCTGCACAGGTGACTAACTAGGAATTTACAGCTCACAAAGCCGCCTTCCCACCAGAGTCACTGTAAGCTCCAGGGCAGGGGAAAAGGGCACCTTCCAGACTCAGACCAGCAGTGTGTTCTGGGAACCTCTCAAGATTTTTGCATTTTCATCAATGAGCTGCTGAGAACCAGGCCAAGTGACCCGAACGTGGTCTCTCAAACCCTCACTACCCTGCAAGGCAGGGTATGCTTTCCTTCTTATATATTTTTCTTAAGCTAATAGCTTCGGACTGCTTTCTCTGTACCAGTTTTCTCTGCACCAGCCACAGTCCTAAGAGTTTTACCACATTAACTCCTTGGTCCTCGTAACAATCCTGTGAGGTATATAGTATTCTTACCCACCCCTTTCAGAGGGCAGAAAACAGAGATTCTAAACAATGAAGCCATTTGCCCAAGGTCAGGCAGCTGGTAAACCCTAGACCTGGGATTCACCCTGAAGTCAGAGATGGCTCCCACCTCTTACCTTCTTCCCACAGCACCCCAGGCCCTAGTGGGTGTACAAATCTGCATGCTGGAAACTGGGCTCAGGTACAGGTCCCCTGTTAATCATTCCTGAATCTACTCTCCTCTGTTCTGTTACCTGGTTCCTCCCTGTTACCTGGCTAAAATCTGTTTCAAACAGGCAACTCAGGATAGAAAAGACATCAGGTAAGGACCACCTAAATGGTGGCCCCAGGAAAGGGTGCGGCAGAGCTGTCTAGGAAATTAGAGAGGGGGATGAGACCAGGGGCCACTAACGTGCTGGTGCTGGTATGGCTGCTTCAGGGCACATGGCACTCGTGTCAGCGTGAGCAGAGGAAGCCACATCACCCCCATGAGGCCGTTTGCGCACTCCGTCGTGCCCCTTGCTGTGAGGGATAGATGAGACATGGCACGTGCAGGGCTTGCTTCAGCGCCTGATGTGCAGTAAGTGCTTCGTAACCTGCAGCCCTTGTGATTATGGCCAGTTTCACCTCTGAGCAGTATCGTCCTGGTTGTGCCAGTGGTCCCTCAGGCCCTGGTAACAGTCACCGAAGCCCTCAGTGTCAGAGCTGAAGGGCGCGGAAATCAAGCACTGAGCCTGTCTCCACAGATGAGGACAGGACAGGGTCAGCGGTGCTGGGGCTGGCGAGTCCTGCGGGCCCGGCTCCTCCTTCGCACAGTCACCCTCAGACTTGGAGTGGGCAGTGGGGCTGGACAACACAAGAATTGGTGGACTTAACTGTCACACCCAGTCTGTGTGGCCACCTGCTTTTTATTTATTCCACAAGGAGTTTCTCAGTTTTCAAGTGAGAAACCCAGGTTGGGGACTGGCCATCAGACCCTTGTGGTTAGAAGGGCAGAAACACTGCGAACTCAAAATGACACTACTTAATTTTCATGGTTTCACCACTTCTCTAATTTGCAGGTGGCAGAGGAAGATAAGAGGGCTTCTGATGACCTACATGAGGAAGCCTCCCACACAGGGCTTATTTTTTTTTCTCCCCAGCTCTAGTCCTCCCTTTCCCTCCCTAGTCCCCACCTGCCCCCACAGCCCGGAGTCAGGAGAACTGGCCCTTGCCCCAGCATCTTGGGCTGATGGCTGCACCTGCACTTTTGCAAAGACTGTGACAAAGGGGACAGATCCCTGGAGTTGGAGTTGGAAGTGTGACTTCAAACCCCTAGTCTTCCTCTAAAAACCTAAGTGATCTTGGACAAGTATAATCGGGATAACAACATACTCTGAGTTACTCTGAGGATTAAATGACTTAAAACATGAAAAACCCTCAAACACTGCCTGGCACTTAGCAAGCCTTATTCACATGATAGTAGCCATTACCACCACCACCACCATCATCATCATCTATTGCTACTATAATTTTAACTACTACTGATACTACTAGATGTGTGGCCTTCAGCAAGTCACTGAACATCTCTGAGCCTCAATTTCTTCGTCTTTATAATACCTACAAAGAACTATGATACAGATGAAAGAAATGCAAATACGCATTTATCCTGCTTGGGACTAGTAAGCACCCACCACTATGGCAGCTACTGCTGTAACTATTCATGTGACAGACAGTGAATGACAACTCTACGCTGGGTGCTGTGCTTCTCATGCGTCAGAGTGGTGAGTGGGCACAGATCCTGTCTTACGAATTCAAAGTCAAGTGGAAGAGACAGGCACTAAACATATTCAACACAGGATGCCTGGAGCCTGAGCAGAAAGCCATGACAGAGGGGTTCAAGCAGTCCTGTGCTGCTCCCCCCACAGCTATTGGCTCCCAGGTCTGGGTCAGTAGGGGTGGCGTCTACACCAAAGACCTCCCCCACCGATGCCTGCAAAGAATCACGTCCCAGATTCCCACCTGTCGCCACCTCTCTCTTCCCATGGCTGCTGTTCTCCAAGTCCTCAATCTCACCCAGAGACCACTAATTCCTAGGAAAATAAACACCACTTCTAATATCTAGAAGGTGAGATCATGCAAGTAAACAGGGTCACTGGGCTTTAAGGTTTTAACTCATTGTGAGGTCTCACACCCAAATGACAGATAAGTTTTTACCTTCACGGACATCTTCAAACACAAAAACAAAGGCTGCAGTTATTCCGTGAGGCTGGCAGGAAACACTATCTGATTAACAAGAACACAAGTCCTTCCTCTTTCATTAAATTCAGTGACAGTCCTTGCTGAGAGCCCAAAAGGTGATTTAAACATCAAGAACCCAGGCCCTTTCTGTCCTGGTGTTGCTTCCTCTGCCCAAACCTGACTCACAGCGGCATTTACTTAAAAGAACAAGGTGTGTCTCAGATAGACTCCTCATAGTACCTTTAACCACTCTTACTGGGGCCTTCGGAACAACTGTGCTACCCTTTCTCTGAGGTCTGGCCCCTACTAGGGGAATGATCTGACACATGGTGGGAGAACATTAAAAAACCAATACTCTACAGACTTCCAGGCAAGATGGAGGCGTAGGTAGACATGCTTCGCCTCCTCACACAACCATAAGAAGCATCACAATTAACCTCAAAATAAAAAACAACCAGGACTGCCAGAAAATCAAACTGTATGGAAGTCTGACAACTAAGGATTTAAAAAAATATTCATCCAGACGGGTAGGAGGGGCGGAGCCAGGTCCTCAGGCAGAGAGGACGTGGTGTGGTGTTGGCAAGGCAGCGGCAGCCAGTGGAATGGATGTGGGACAGTCCCACATGTATGTGTGGTGCATAAAAACCAGAAGGCGCACCTGGGGAGTGTGTGATCCAGCCCCAAGCCAAACTATGCAGCCCAGGGTTCCAGCACTGGGAAAATAAAGCCTCATAACTGCTGGCTATAAAGATCAGTGGGGGTTGGAACAGTGAAAGAAACTGCCAGTTTCTCAGGAGGGTCTGTTTAAAGGGTCCACACGGTCCTAGAATATACGCAAACCCACCTACTCTGGGAACCACAACCAGGGTGCCAGTTGCATACAGGAAGTGGGTAAAGTGACTAGAAAAGGGGCAAGTGCCACGCAAATGGTATTGTTATCTCCAACTCCCCCTGACCCCGCACATATGGTGCCACAAAGCGGTGAAGTGTTGCCCTGCCCTGATGAAAACCTAAGCCCCTTACAACGTAACAGGTGCACCAAGACAGGGAGTCAAAGCAGTTCTAATACTCAGAAACAAACAAGGGAGGCTGCTGTGAGGAGACAAAGAAATATGGCCCAAATGAAAGAACAGATTAAAACTCCAGAAAAGGAACTGAGTGAAACGGAGATAGCCAACCTGTCAGATGCAGAGTTCAAAACACAGGTGATCAGGATGCTCAGAGAACTCACTGAGTACGGCAAACACATGATGGAAGAAATGAAGGCTACACTAAGTGAAACAAAGAAAAATCCACAGGGAACCAACAGTGAAGAGAAGGAAGCTGGGGTTCAAATCAATGATTTGGACCAGAAGGAAGAAATAAACATTCAACCAGAACAGAATGAAGAAACAAGAATTCACAAAACCAAGGAGACAATAAGATGACTCTGGGACATCTTCAAAAGTGCTAACATCTGAATCATAGGGATGCCAGAAAGAGAAGAGGAAGAGCAAGAAATTGAAGACTTATTTGAAAAAATAATGAAAGAAAACTTTTCTAATTTGATGAAGGAAATAGATATACAAATTTAGGAAGCACAGAGAGTCCCAAAGAAGCTGGACCCAATGAGGACCACATCAAGACACATCATAATTAAAATGCCAAAGATTAAAGAAAGAATCTTAAAAGCAGCAAGAGACAGACAGCTACCAACAAAGATGTACCCATAAGATTATCAGCGGATTTGTGAAAAGAAATCTTGGAGGCAAGAAGGGACTGGTAATAAGTACTCAAAAGACATGAAAAGCAAGGACCTACAACCAAGATTACTCTATCCAACAAAGCTATCATTTAGAATGGGAGGGCAGATAAAGTGCTTCCCAGACAAGGCAAAGCTAAAGGAGTTCATCACCAAGTCGTTATTATATGAAAGGGTAAAGGGACTTATCTGAGAAAAAGATAAAAACTATGAACATTAAAATGTAAATAAACTCACAACTATCAACAAATGAATCTAAAAAACAAAAACAAACTAAGCAAACAACTAGAACAGAAACAGAATCATAGATATGGAAGGTTATCAGCAGGGAGAAGGAAGAGGGACAATGGGTGTAAAGGTACAGGGAATAAGAAGCATAAATGGTAGATATAAGATAGACAGAGGGATGTTACAAAAAATACATAGGAAATGGAGAAGCCAAGGAATTTATATGTACAACCAATGGACACAACCTAAGGGGGGGGATTGTTGGAGGGAACGGGGATACCAAGTGCAGAAGGGCAAAGGGGAAAAAATTGGTACAATTGTAACAGCATAATCAATAAAATATACTTTAAAAAACTAGATCACATCTGGAGAGAATGGTTATTATATCTTATACTGTTTTATACACTAAAAATACTTTTGGAAAGGTAGTATTTTTGTAAAAAAATGTTGAAGTGAAAAAAAACATACTTGAGGGATCTGGTATTTGGGGTGGATTTGGCATTCAAACCCCTCTTTGACCTTGACCTTCAGTACTTCCCCAAGTCGCAGTTTACTCATATATAAAATGGGGCACTAACTGGGTGACTTCCAAGTGCCCTTCCACTGCTCACTTCTAAGAGGGTGATGAATCCACCTGCAGTGAACTGGTGACAGTTACAGGGCTTAGAAAAGAGTAGCTGAGTTCCTCACCCCTTCCTATGCACCTTACTCCCTGATTCTCCATGGTGCCCTATTCCTTACAGGATAAATTCTCAGCTCCTTGGTGTGGCATTCAAGGCTGCACACAATCCTATGTGTCTCCCCTCCCAGGCCCCCTCCTTTCTAATTTTGCCAGACACATTAGCCCTCCAGAACCTTCCTGCAAGCCCTACTCTTGCTTGCGCTTTGCCCCTGCACATGCTCTGCTGGAAATGTCCTTCTCTAAATGGCGAGCTCCTGCTCATTGTCCAATACTGCTTCCCAAGATCTGCTTCCTCCATGCAGCCTTCCATTATCTGGGACTCAGGATTTTTATCTTCACTTTTTTGTAAGCCCAGAGTCTGATACATACATGTGTTCATTAAAACACCCATTACATCCACAGTGGCCTCATTTCCCTGCAACCTTTGCTGTATTAGACAGGAAACCCTTGGAGAGCAGGGACTGGGTGTTGGGCATTTCTGAGCCTGTGCATCTAACGTAGTTCTTGGCCCACAGAAGATGTGGCAGGAACATTTCTCAGACAAGTAAACCACTGAGGGGAACCTCAAGACATTTTATCTTAATAAAGAACAAAGTTTCTGCTTACAAATCCCAAATATGCCACTTTCTACTGCCTAATAACAATGCTAAGGAAAGGTGTATGTTTTTTCTATAGAAAATGCTAACAGCTGAGGAACCCGATTTGAGTTGGGGGCAGAGGTATAATAAAACTCAATGAAAACCATTTAGATGCTGTGGGGAGGGGACAGTCTCTTCAAAGTAGCCAGCCTGTTTTGGCGGGTCTAGGTCTTGGAGCATCACTGAAGGGCAAGGGCAGCACTGAGGGGCAGGGGACCAACCTCGGGGCTTGGGCTGGCAGCAGCGCTTCAGCACGAAGCTGATGTTGTCCGTGCGCAGGATCTGCTTCTTGAGGTGGCTCATGAGTTCCCCCAGGCTGGGGAAACTGCGGTCTGAGCCATGCAGGCTGTAGCGACCCTTCTGCACCTCGATCTGAAAATTCTTGAACTGTTTCTGGCCACCCAGCACCTGTCATTCAGGAAAATGAGCAGAAGGGATGTTTTAAAAGGGGTCAGGAAAATACACCCTGGGGAAGACAGGAAGCTGGGTGAAAGGCATACAGAAGCTCAGTGCCATCTCTGTAACATTTCTGTAAATCTAAAATTATTTCAAAATAAAAGATTATCATAAACAGCCCTGGCTGGTGTAGCTCAGTGGATTGAGTGCTGGACTGCGAACCAAATGGTCATGGTTTGATTCCCAGTCAGGACACACACCTGGGTTGCAGGCCAGGTCCCCAGTAGGGAATGTGCGTGAGGCAACCACACATTGATGTTTCTCTCCCTCTCTTTCTCCCTCCCTTCCCCTCTGTAAAAATAAATAAAATCTTTAAAAAAAAAGATGATCATAAACAAGTATGCAAAACAATAAATATATAACTAATAAAAGGGTCCAGGAGAGGCCACTGGTAAGAGGGAGCTGATGTCAGGGAGACGGTGTAACAGCAGTGATTTCCACATCAGCAGCACTTTGTTTTGGGCCTGCGGAATGAGATTCACGGAAATGCCAACCCCTCAGGACTGAGATCATGTGACACGGTGCATATAAAAAACACAGTGAGCACTTTATAAAGGTGAACAAATACAATGCATGAACTAGTAATTACTACATCAAAATTTATCCACAACTGAGTCCTTCAAGACTACACCCCTATCTGAACAGAACCCCCCTGGGAGGTGGCAGCCAGCTGGCCGGTCCAGCTTCAGGGTTCCACGGTGTCACAGACAGGAAGTATAAGCAAAGACTTCCCTCATGGGCACTTCTGGTGCAAAGGAAACCATTTTAGTGGTTAAGAATGAAAGCCAGAAAGTTCGACTTACAGTGTAAATTAGGAAAAGATATTTAAAAACTCAATGCCTCTGCCTCTACGAGGGGGATAATACCACATACCTCATAGGGTTAGTGTGAGACTAATAAATGAGAATACCTCGGTAAAGTGCTTAGCACAGTGTCTGCTGAGCTTAAAGAGGTGGCAGGAGTGATCCTATCTGTGACCCCTGTTTGCCCCAGATAAGGTGACACCAGGTACACCATTGTCACTGAATCACTGACATTCTTGGTACAGGTCGATCCTGCTCCAGAAGGTGGCTGGGCTGTCTCAGGCACCCAACTGTTAACAATGTTAAACTTCCTCTGAAGACTAATGAATACGAAGGCAGGCATGCTGCAAGACAACAAGCCAGACAAGTCGTGAGCCACTAGCCTGAATCGGCCTGGAGGCCTAGCTGTACAGGAACAGCCCGGGGCAGGGAGCAGCCCCTAGAGACATCGCCCAGGACACTTGGCAGTACTGGGTGCCTTCACTGTTTCCCCTTCCCACTCCTGAGTCCAGTCCCTAGGGGCTCTCTAGTACTTTTCCTTTCTGTGTCTGAGGTTTTCAATATGCTAATGTGCTGACTTCTGTAAAACTCATTGTCTTTTAAAATATTCCATTTCCTGTATTTAAAAAAAATTACATGAAGAACGAAGGCATATGTGGTCTAGTGAGATAAGTCAACAATTCTGGCTTCCATCTTAGCCATCAGGATTTCTCTCACATCGTTCCAGGCTTCCAGTCACACCTGAGTCACTAACAGACATCTCCACCTGCCAAAACGTGGGGCAGAAATCTGTCTGTTGAAGTGTCTGAGGCTACCGTCTGTGTTGGGCCTACTGCCGAGGTGGCCTTCTTGGCACTGACTGGTGCCCATGAACGCCACAAATGCACACAACTCTGCGTCTGTGCTGATCCTGGCACTGAGTGTAAAATAAACCACTCTAAATAATCACACTAAACCTCATGACTGTTGGTGTTAACTAGCTTTCTGGTCGTGTTCCACCTTCCAGAGCCACAGTAGGCCCCAGTACCCGGGTCCCTTGAAGGGGAAAGTTACAGGGTCTGGCTGCTTGGGAATAGTCTCCTTCTGGACAGCAGGTTGCCCCCATCAGAACTGCCAGGGGTTTTCTCAGAGACCCAGACTTTTCTACCCGCCAAACCCTGTGAGTGGTCCCTCTCTGCAGCAGCTCCTGGACCAGGATGCACTGCACACCTTGTGGCCAAAGGGCCTGACTCAAGCCAGTGTTGTGACTGACCTCAGGCTTTTCAAAGCAGGTGACTGTCATGAGGATGTTGTCGAAGTCAGTGCAGCTCCACCGCAACACATACATCCCCTCCTCGCTTCCTTCTTGCCGTAATTTATTGATGGCATATTCTGTGCTATAGGGAGAAAGAGGAGAAAGGAGAAAGAGCTCACCAAACAGGAGCACTCTGAATCCCAGGGAACAACCACTTCCCTGAGCTGCCTCAAGTCTTATGGTCCCACCACCTTACCTATCCTGGGTCCTAAAGTCCTCTCAGATATGATACATGAGGCAAGCAGAGATGCTGAGGAGCCCTGAAACAGACCAAATCTCTAAGGTCTAGAAAGGATTCTACCTGCTGCCCAAGGCCCTGAGCCCTGTTCATCCCCATACGTGGTGTCTCCAACACTAACCAGAAGAGCGCCTCCAAAGCCGGTGATGCAGAGTTGCCCATGATGCAGTGGTGGGGGTCCCTCCCCACTATCCCCAGGCAGCACAACTAGAACATGAGCCTCAGGAAGGCGCAACTTTGGGATTATTTTGTTTACAGCTGTATCCCCAGTAACCAGAGCACCACTGGGCTCACAGTAGCTGCTCAATAAATGAATGAATAATCAAATAAAGAAATCAGTGAAGATTAGGAAGATGTTAAAGGAAATATGCCTGTCTTGCACATCTTTGTATGCCCAGGACTGGGCAGACTTGGCACCCAGAGGGCAAGGAACAGTGGCCAAATACACGTACGAGGTTACCACACTTAGTGAATGGTGCCCACCAAGTATTGATGAAAGACGGCTGACATGCTCAACGTGTGTCAGAAAGGCAGAGACCCCCTGCTCCATGGTCTGTGACACCTTCACACCTTTCTACATGTTGATCCCTCACATGAGAGGCCCTTTCTCCTCGTTAAGACCTGATAAACCACCATTAATTCTTCCAAGTTTAATCTGATTTGAATACTGTCTAGTCTGAGAAGGCTTCTTAGGCAATGAGGTTCAGGCCCTCCACAGAACATGAAACATTCACTCAGTCAATAATGCTTACTAAATGCCTACGATGTGCCAGGCCCTGCTCTGGGCACTGAGGAAAAGCAGCAAACAAAGCAGGCAGTCCCCCTGCCTGTATGGAGCTCATATTCTGGACAAAGTAGGCAAACAAGAAACAAATGGACAGGGAAATAAACATGTTATGTCCAAAGGTAATAAATGCCACTGAGGAAAAACAAAGCAGAGTAAAGGAGCCAGGAGGTGCATGGTGCAGAGGGGGAAGAGGTATTTTTATTCAATACAAGGTGATCAGGGAAGACTTCACGGATAAGGTGATATCTGAGTAACACCTGAAGGAAGTGGTGGCTGTGTATATTCTGGAGGAAGGGCATTCCAGGCCCAGGGAAAAGCAAGTGCCAGGCTCCCGAGGCCTAACTGTGGTTGGGATATTTGAAGAACATGCTTCCCCTTGCTGCTCTGCAATTCTCTGTGTGTCTATCTCCCGTGGGTCTGTGAGCCTCTCCAGGCCAGGGTCACCCTACTAACAAACTGCCTGTCCGCAGGGTAACTAGGATAGGGAAGAAGGTGGGAACTGCGTCATGTGGAAAGCAGCTGAAGAGATGCTTCCCCAGATACATTTTGGCCTAGAAAGATAAAATGAGAAAAGACACAGCAACTGTTTTCTTTGCCTGAAGGGCAAGTCATATATCAGGGCAAGTAAACTGAATCCCTGTTACTTCCAAGAACAGAACTCAAATGGGTACGCAGAAGTTACAGAGAGGCAAATTCAATTCCAGATCAGAAAAGCAAGTACATCTACACTTGTTAGAGCTGGGATGTGTTGGCTGCTCCGTGTAGTACTGAGAAGCCCGTCACCAGAGCTCTCTGAGCACATGCTACCAGTTCTGAGGCAAAGGAGGGACAACATATCCAGCAAGGCCCCTTCCAGCTCGAAGAGTTGGCCACCCTAACTGTCCCCACCATTTATCTGACACTCAGGATTCCATTATTCACTACTACGTCTGATTTGAGACCTGTTCCTATCTTTCTTGAATCACCCACATTTGTCACTGCAAGGAATTAGGAGGTGTAGCACTTCCCAGTCAGCTGTGAAGAGCAAGGGGTTGTTAAACTACGAGGAGACCCACGTAAATGAGAAGTAAGGGGCTTCTATGAGAACCAAGGTAAGAGATGACAGAAGGCCTGACCAACGGACTGTGAGGACGGAAAATGGCACCAAGACAGCACTAAACACGCTCAGCTGGCCCCAGCCTAAACAACTGGCAACACCTGTGTCGAAGGAGCCACATTCCCCCATCACTAAAACGCAGGTTCTTTTCACAAGGGCATCTGAAAAGGTGACAGAACCAACCAGATTGGACCGTGACAGCCATTCTGTATGTTGTGGACGATCAGTGGGGGAGCCACGTCGGTGCAGAGGTAATGATGGGCATCTGCTGTGAGCCGAAAGTAGCCATCTACCAGAGACACGAAGGACAAGGCTTCCTCGTGGGAAGAGAGCTTCAGTTCCTGGTGAGAGAGAAGGGATGCCCGTGGTTACATCATCTGACTGCAGTGGGGGGCACACAGAGAGAGGGGATGTAACACACAGTGGGGAAGGCATGACCCCAAAGGGAAACTGCTTTTGTGCACAGTCCCTGTACCCTTTGCATTTATATAGGATTTGGACTGTTTGTCACTTAGCTATTATCTAAAAGCTACTGGAAGAGGTACAGTGTGTCTGTGTGTGACGGAGGAAGAAGGGGGCACTGTGGTAGGCAGGAGCCCTGTGAGGAAGCTGCCACCTACCAGATGGAAAAGCAAGCAGAATGACAGTGGCAGAGCTATAAAAGTGGAGATGGGCAGAGCAGGGGGTGTGTGAGTGGTTAGCTGGTCTTGGCACTAAGCAGTGACCGACTCAGTAGACATTTTGTCTGTTTTATACAAAAGGCAGCAGAGCACAGGAGCTTCCTCCCATGCAGAGTTGGTCTAGGTGAAACTTCTGGATTTTAATTCAGAAATGGTCCCAGACACAGGAGGAGGCTGCTAGAGTAAGTCCAGAGACCTCTGAGGGTTTAGAGGAGGGCAAGGAATCCCACTCAGTGTGGGAGAGGCAAAGGCAAAAGTGGAGAAGAGGGAGGGAATTCCCATGGAAGGAAGGTTCTCAGAAAAACACTTGGAGGTGAGGACAGGTTTTGTTGTTTGTTTGTTTGTTTGTTTTGTCTTGATCATTCAGTCCTGAGCAGAGGTTGCCCACTTGGGAGGAGTCATGGGGTCAACCGGGAAAATCTTCTGGGGAAGGAAGGTATGGAAGCCATCACTCAGGGCACTGGCTCACAAAAATATTGAAGAGCATGTGAGTCTCCAGAGAAGAACAAAACGCCACTTGAGTATAAGACTCTTTCCATAGAACTGAAAAAAGGGAGGCTGGTGACAGAGAAAACCAGGCCAGTGAAGGGGAAGGGGGCAGATGTAAGCAGCAAGACAGGACGGAGGTCAGAGGGTCTAGTTCCAGGGAGCTCTGATGCCAGGGGAAGCGTGCTATGGGGCTGTGGGCCAGCGAGGTCAGGAGAGGGCAGGGCCACCACAGGGATGGCAACACAGGAAGGAGACTCTGTGCTAAATGTGCTTCCTTTCAGGTGTAACCTGGCATCCACCTGCAGATGCCCAAAAAGCAAATCCAGAATGGTCTGGTTTGGGTAGTCCTTCATCCAGTCACATGAGAGAGACCACATCAGCACTCCAGTTCCCTGAGAGGGAAGTGTGAATGGAAATGGGAGGCATCAAGGACATGCAGAGAGGAGATAAATCAAGACATAATTTTATAACATGCTAGTATCTTGCTTTCCTGAAAACCAGGTTGGAAAGCCCTTGGCTGTGAAGGATGCAAGTGAGAGAAAAAAGAGAAAGCATTGCACAGACCTGCAGGTTTTGGAGCAAGTTCATGTGGGTTCAAGTCTCAGTATCTCCATCCACTTGCTTTTATGTTTAAGCATATGTAATTATCATTTTTATAGGTCAAAAGTTGTCAAATATTGGTAATATCAAATGGTTTAGCCTAAGAGCTGTGTGACCATGCGTAAGCTACTTAACCTTTTATGCCTCAGTTTCCTCCTCTGTATAATGGGGATAATCATATATCCACCTCACAGGGTCAATATGAAAAGAAAAACAGCCAACATTTGTAAAGTGTTTAAAATAGGAAGTGCCTGGCATGCTGTAAGAGCAAATGTTTGTATACAGAAATAAAGTAATGGGGGGAGTCAAGTATTTATTTTTTCCCCAACTTCCTCCTGCTCCCCACACAGCACTGTAGCTTAGCACAGAGTCACTGGCCCATGTGGGCCAAGAGAGCTCCGACTGAAATGACAGATGTACCAACTGGGTGCCAGACTTGACTCTGTCAGCCAGGACAGGACAGGGGCGGGCTCACAAAAACCATACCAGCTGGCTGCTTCTCCTCTGCCACACGCTTGCAGGGTCTGGCCCTGTCGAAGAGCCAGGTTATAGACGTGCCAGCCTGCCCCCCCACTGCATAATCTCTGGGAGGGAGAGCGCCTCGGAGACCCACACAGAACAGGCAGAGCTGACCCTCGCTCACTCCGTGACCCCATGCAGGTCTCCACTCCTCTCCACAGCCACAGATCCCCCACTGGAAATGGAGCCACAAGTCCTACCTCTGAAGGGCTGGTATGGACTGAGATAATGGGGACACAGCACTGCAGCACGGCCTGACGCCTGTGATGTGCTGACTAAGTAACGTTTATTGTTATGTTCTTCTTCCATTTTTCCATCTTCCCACTAACATCTATTTGGATTCTTATACTTCTCCCTTCACTTTATTTTTAATCATGGTTTTCTGATGAAATTAATGTATGTTTATTGTTTTAAAAAGGGGGGTAAGAAAATTAAAATCACTCACAATCCCACTCTAAATAATAACTGATAATATTATTTTTCTGAGATCATGTGTAGGTATAAACATACCTTTTCAAAGATTTTTTGAACAAAACTGGTATGATTCTATAGGTAGTATTTTATAATCTGCACTCTTCCATTTATAAAGCATTTTTTCAGATTATTTAAAAAATTCAGCAATGTATTTATATAACATTCTACTACTTGGGTGATTTATTTTCCCCTTCTTCTATTGTATATTTACGCTATATTCAGTATTTTGATACTGTAAATGCTGTTGGAATAAGTATTTGTGTTCACAGACCCCTGCCTGCATCTCACCGTTTCTGGAGACAAGATCCCTAGGCGCGTGAACAGAGGGATACATCAATATTTCAAGAGTTCCAGTACATGTAGCCAAACTGCTTTCCGAAAGAAACACCGAAAGGGTAAGTTACTCTGCATGTGAACAGGTAACTGTCTGTCCTAAACCGTATCACCAGATTCTTCCCAGCACTGTTTGCCAAATCTCTGGCAGAACGTGGTGTCTCCGAGTGCTGACCACCCTCACATGGCGAGCATACCCTGCCTCTCGGGCCTGCTCTCCCACATCTCATCAGCCGTGACTTCCCTGACACAAGCGTGTATATTTTGGCAGGGCTCCCACTTCCCCTGCCAAACTGGCCTGCCTGTCTAGATTATGTCCTCCAGTGACACCAAAAGAGAGGAAGTGAGACTGAGCAGACTTCCTCTGTCCAAGAGTCACTTGGGTGTGCCTGACACCATGATGAGCACGGCCGCCGCTGTGGACACAGCCACAGGCTTCACAGTCTGCTGAAGTGCAAAGTGGGGCTTCCCACCAACCTCGCTCCCGATGACCCACCAACTCTGCAGAGAGACCACACAGGAGGCCTGGGGGAAACACGCTGACACTCACTGCTCTTTTTCTTTAAATCCACTAATTTTTGTGAATTAAATAATGATGCTGAAATATCTTTGGGAGGGCAGCAAATGCTGAAACAGATACACATTTGCAAGACCGAAAAAGGCCCTGGAATGTAACAGGTGTAACAACTGACTACTGATAACGCCAATGTCAGCAATAGGAACTTTTTGGCTTAAATAAGATAGTCATCAGGTTTTTTCTTCAGGACAGGAACCCTGAAAAACATGTGCTGCGTAACTGCCCCCAGCCAAGCCCTCTCTCACCACCAGACCCAGACCGAGTAGCTTCTGGTGCACACTTACCATTTTTTTGTTGTCCTGCTTATTAATGCTGACCACAGACTCCTTGATTACAATATGAGTGATTTCAGGAAAGTAAGAAAAATTGTTCCACTCTTCCCGGATTTTGTTTTTCTCCTCATCCTTCTTGTGTTTGTTTTCCAGTTTTTTCCGTTTCAGTTTATTTTTTTCCTTTTCAACAGGAACAACCTGACAACATGCAAAAAAGTGACAAGAGTTGAATTGACTTCCTCATTTCCACTAGTAGAAGGTCAATTCTGGGAAACCACTGCAAAGCCTGCATCCAAGGAGGAGAAAACCAGCGTGCCTGGATCTGCGGGGGAATTGGGAGAGGTGGCGCCATGGGCTTAGGATCACAGGCTCGGGTCCTATCAAGGAATACTGGAGTCTTACGCCTGGAGGAGACCAAAGAACACACGACTAAACACTTTCCATAATCTATGACGTACAAGCAAACTCAGAAAGGCAAATAACTGCACGCCAGACGTGCATCTACAGTCATGTCCCCTTGCTTCTGGACTCACGTGTGCTTCAACGCAGGCAGGGGACATGCTCTTCCCATACATGACTGGACAGAACATGGGCTTTCTTGATTTCATAACAACATTCAAGTGAAGATTTTCAACAGAAGGTGTAGATCTCATGCTTGAATAATACAGGGGTCAAAGAGGTCTGCACAAGTTTAAGTATTTCCTGCAGACTAGAGATCTGGGTTAAGATCCCACCTCTGCAAGTTACTTAACTAGATAGTTCACCTCTTTGTACCTCCACTTCCTGATCCATGAAGCAGAGATCTTACACCTTTGCAATGTGCTTTGAGTATCAGGTAAGTTCTTATTGACAGAGTACCAACTACATAGCAGGCACTCAGTTAAATGTTAGGCATTGTTACTTAAGCAAGAGAATGAAACAAGAGAAATGAATCTCACCTTCAATATTATTATTTACAACGATGATGATGATGATGACGACGATAGCAGCTATAATAATTAACTGAGCATTTATTACATGCCAGGCTCTGTGCTAAATGACATTTAGTTCTCTCAACAACCCTATCATGTAGATACATTTTACTGATAAATATGTGGCTAATATAGGTGAAGTAAGCCTCCCAATGCCAGGTAACTACGAATAGTGAAGCTAGGATTTCAACAGGTCTATTTAGGTTTAAAATCCATGCTTTGAAACCACTCTGCTCTATTACCTCATTCAACAAACACCTCAAAAAGAAGCTTCAAATTAAAAAAATCAATTATCCTATTTCATAGGAGCCAGAGGCCTAAGTTCAATTCTTGGTATAATCACTTAGTTATGACCCTGTATGAGTTTCCTAACTTCTCTGTGCCTCTGTGTGTTCATCTATGAAACAGAGATAAGGGCAGTGCTCCCCAGAAAGGTTTTTGGGTTTTGTTTTGTTTTGTTTTGTTTTTAAGGAATAAATGTGTCAATACACGTAAAATGCTTTGAAAAGTACTCGGCATGGTGCGCACTCAGGAAATGTCTGCTGTTGTTATATTATCCCATATTATATGTTATATTTCTCTATTTCCCTATAAAACTTAATAACTGTTTATTTAGATCTACTGGTACATGGATGCAGTAGAAGATGAATGCCACATGACCCCCACCCTCCACGAACTCCACCGACAGGGGTGATGGGCACACAAACAGGAATTTGCGGTGGGACTCACAGAACACACCTTGTGGCCCAGGGTGCTCTGCTTCGACCAGCCACCTACACCACTTACATTTGGTTTCTGCCTCCACTGGATTCCAAGGTTTCCAGTCACCATCACTTCATAGAGAACATTCCCACTGTCATTTGGGTGAAACCAGTTCATCTCATTTTCTGATGAAATCAGTAACATGGAAGTCTCGAATATTTCAGCACCATAATGTTTTGTCAACGTTTCCAAGGTGGCCAGGTATTTCACCTTCAGGTCATGCGTGGACACGCTGCTGTCACAAATGGTCTTGTTGTTAAATTCCTTTAGGAAATCCTTGAAAACATTATTTATCCGCATCCTGGTAAGAAGGTTCCTCTGTCTGATGGACTTATTCAGCGTTTCTGGAATATATCGCTTGTAGCTAAAAGAAAATTAAAAAATGAATCTTTTTTCACGAAGAGGTTAGCAAAGAACAGTTTAGAAACAAAGCTCAGTCTGTGCATCTTCCCTCCATGTGTTGCTGGGTGAGAGAGGCTCAGTGAGATGGGACAACACCGAGGAGGATAACCGTTAGGAGAGGAGGGAGGGGTCAACAGGGACTGAAAGAGTGTAGACAAGTACATGTGCCTCAGATTTTACTGAGATAGGAATTCCTATGATATCATCTAATTCTATGAATTGCAAAGGTAGGCAGCCAAACTGACTCACCTATGTTTTTGCTGGCTAGTGTCACTGTTCCTGTGAACGTCATTCACATGAACACACTGACACTGTGATTCAGCCTTAGCTCGTAAGTGGTCTGAAAGGTGCCAAGAGTGATTATAGGTGCACTGTATGTTCTACTTGTATGTCTGTTTATAATTTTTCTATAAAGATCGCATATTGTTTTTATTAGATATGGGCAAAAGACATAAAAGCTAATTAAATACAAAAGACTTAATGTTTCCTTTGTGAAATGTCCCAATAAACAATCTGAAGAATTATTATCCATCGGGGGGCTTAAGGGGAAAGTCCCTATGATTAACAGAATCTCAGACTGCTAGAGCAGGAGCCAGTATTAAAGAGAGTAAGAAAACCCATGAAAGAAAGAACATCTCCACTGGGGCCAGCCGACTGGGAAGACCAGTGTGCCTGTCACTCACAGGCCAAGACAGCGCCCGACACAGGGTAATCCCTGCATGAATGGTTGCAAAACAGTGCAAATTTTGATGTTGGGAATTTATCCCCAACAAATATCTCATTCGTGTGTGTGTGTGTGTGTGTGTGTGTGTGTGTGTGTATTTAGGTTAATGTAATGGAGGGGAAGATTAGAGGAGGGCTGTTAGCCTGTTGAAAAAATAGGAGGTGCCCAGAGCCAAAGCCACCGAAAAAAAGGGAGAGAGAAAGTAGCAATACAGCATGTATCTAATCAGTCCCTGCATTCCTGAGGAGCAGCCCATGATCTGCTCCAGACTTTGGTCAAGGGCAGAGGAGATACACGCAGATACAAGAAGTAACCTTATGAGAAGATATATGCCACCTATCACAAATATTACAGCTACATATAATTTCCTCTTCAAAATGAGATAGTCTTCATTTATGACAATCATCAACAGTTAACTGAGAAAAGATTGTATTTCGTAGGTGCATGGAAATTACACAAACTGAATGTTTCTTCACAAAGACTTGATCACAATGGATATTTTAAGTAAATATAATTTCCTTAAGATAACAGTTGATCATCCTTCCCACCAAAATTAACAGCTCTCTAGGGAACTCCAGTTCAGGCCAGGGATGGTAGGAGCTACCTGCAGAGCTATACTAAGAAGGATTTTAAGATGGGACAAAAGGAAAAAGTGCAGATGGCAATGCCTACCATGGGCAGAGAGGAAAGGGGAGGGCATAGGGGCCACTAATTTGATTGGCATCCCCAGCCAAGAACATTCACCCTAGTACGAATTTCTGGGGTCATCAACCAACATTTAAAATCAGGACACAATCATAATTGTGCTACCTTTTATAGACATTCTAAAAAAAGGTCTACTCTGCAGAAAGGAGGGGTCAGCCAAAAGTTGGCAGTGATTAAACTGAGATGTGCAAGAACCTATAAAAATAACAGCATCCCCACAATCAATTCTTCAGCCAGAATAAAGGTTCACCTGATGTCCTTGGGGAGTTCTGGCAGCTGCATCTTCTTCATCATGGCATAGTGGGAGATGGCCAGGACGGCCATGCCCAGACACTCGTTCTCGATGTCGTGCCCATCCTGCTCAGTCTTCGGGTCTCGAATGGGAGCCAGGCATTTGACCAAATCGTACTGTCCCTTTAGAGCAGAGGTGAGAAGAAACGAACCACCACTTAGGTTTCAAGAGTCCACCCATGTTTCTGATTTTGAGAAGAAGGTTCTCCACACAAGGAGGTGCTTGCTACCCAGCAAAGAGACAAACAAGACTGACAGTTTCTCTGACACCCAGCTCTTTCTCGAGAGCTGGGTATGGAGGGGCTTAGGGGATGTTCCCCCAGATTAATTCACTCATTTAACAAATAATGACTGAACACATGTTAAATCTTGGTGAACAGTATGAACACATGAAGCCCCTTTGGGGGGCTTACCACATAAATGGTGAACAGTAGCGTGTACCAGGCTTGGGCTGCAGCTGGGCAAGGGAAGCTGGCTGGGGTATGATTGTTCACTAATTCCACAAACATGTACTGAGATATCCCCATCTAGGAACTGGGTATAGGACTGACTGAGCACCATTCTCCACCCTGCTGCATATTTAGAGAAACAGGAAGGAATCCGCATTCTACGATGTCTCACTACCACCTGTTAAGTTTTTTCAACATCTGCTGTTTTGTTTCCAGTAGTGAAATGTATCACCAAAATATACCCCCTCATTGTTGGGGGGTGCCCAGTATTCCAAAAGCCGATGAGGGCTTCAAAAACAAAAAACAAAACAAAAAAGCAGGACCTACCACCTGCCTTGTCCAGGGTAATCAAGACAATGTCAATGCCAGCTCCCTTTTATCAAACTCTAACCTCAGTGCTAGACACATGCTAGGTTCCTCATTTACTATTTCATTTAAACTTCACAACAGCCCTGTGAGGCACATGCTAACATCAGCATCTCTACCTAACAAATAAGGAATCTAAGGGACCAAAGGTTAAATAACTCCATTCATTCATTTTGTAATTACTGAATACTGAAAACCAATTATAGGTCAGATGTTAGGTTAGCTGTACGGATATAGCAGTAAACTAAACTACATTGCTGACCTCATGGAGATTCCATTCTAAGAAGAAAGGAGAAACAAAGTGAAATACAGAACATCAGGTAGTTATCAAAAACAGAGCCAAGTAAAAAGGTAGCATGGCACGGAGGCCAGGGCCCTAGTGAGTAGCAGTCAGACTTACATGTAACTCCAGGGCTGCAGTTCGTCCACACTGTGCCATGGCCACACTCAGTCTTTACCACTCAGCACACACAGTACTCTCAGGACCGGGAAGCTTTAGCCTTTCTCTGGCTTGAGCAGAGGCAGACATAATGTTTGGAGGTGGTGTTCCCGCATAAGTAAGCCACTCACTTTCCCTGAAGGGACTTGACTTCAGTGGGTTTGGATGGAGGGTTCTCACCACTGCAGTTCCCCTTCTTTCCAAGACAGGACTACTTCTCTCTCTCTCAGGTAAGAGCAGGACACTGATCACTTCCGTAAACTACTGAGGACCAATGACAATCACCTCTGCCAGCATCATGCGAAGAGCGGAACAGGAGCCAAAACTAATTTGTTTGGCTGTGATTTCTCTGTGAATATCACTGTAAACCTCATTCTGGAATCTGACCTTTCAGGTCAGGTTCTAGTGCAAGACTTTACTCCTAACACATGCCACACTCTTCCTTTATACTTCCTCTTACACCCCCAAGGTAAAAGTATAAATCTCAGGTATGAATATACACAACTGGGAGGCCGATTTCAAAATACCTATCTGAAAATGGTCAGTTCATTTTTTCAACAGTTTTGCCCAGGGCTGCGCATTTCTCTGTTGTACGCATGGGGCAGGGAATGAAAGCCATGTAGCGGGATGTCACTGTGACACATTGTTACGTATACGAAAGTAGGTCCTAAGGAAGTAACAACACCCGACACATAAGCATGTGCATGAGATTGCTCAGATAGCCTCTAACAGTGATGGCACAGCAGGGAAAATGTGAAAAAAAAAATGCCCAGGAACAAGACACCAGTTAAGTAAATGATGTTCTCCTATGGATTCCTGCTCGTCATACTCAACTTCCTACCCAAAATCTCCACCTGTGTGCCTCACAGGCATCTCCAAAAGGAGACACCTAATTCCCACCACTTCTCCAACCTGTTCCTCTCAGCCTTCCCTGTATCCATCAAACACTGCCCAAAACCGAAATCTCAAATCATCTTTGATTCTTCCAGTTCCCTCCCCTTCCATATCCAACCCATCAGTAAAACACAGTCATTTTACCTCCAAAAGTAAGCAGAGACCCATCCATTTTTCTCCAATTCCACTGTTATGCACTAATGTAAAACCAGCCTGTTCTCTTGCCTGGACCAATTACAGCTCCTTTTCAGCTGAAGTGTACTCTTGGCTGCAGCATAGTTCACTTCCATATACCAAGAAGAATCACCCTTGACTTCCACTGTAAATCAAATCAAACCCTCCAAATAGCTTTCACCCCATTTAGGATGGGTGAATACAAGACCCCTTGCCACCTCATACAAGGTTCTATGTCGTCTGCCCTGGTCTGTCTCGCCTGTCTCCTTCCCATCACCCTCCTGACTGTCCTCTCAGGGCTTACCTACTTCAGGGTCTTCCCACATCCTGTCCCCTCTATATCAGGTGTTTTCAACAGGAGACATTTTGCCCCTGAGGGGATATCTGGCAATGTCTGGAGACATTTTTGATCATCAGGACTGGGAGGATGGTGCTACTAGCATCTCGTAAGTGGAGGCCCAGAGTGTGTGTAAATACCCTACAAGAGAGTGCAGTCCCTTGCCACAAAAAATTATCCAGCCCAAAAGGTCAGTTGTGCTGCTGTTAAAAGCTCTGCTCTTCATAGAAGAAATTCTTTCCCCATTCCTCCCTCAGAAATGCTGACTCTTTATTCTTTGGAGAGGCCTTTTCTGATCAAACAATTGTAATTTAGGTCTCCCCAGGCACACCCCTCTCCATATTCTCTGTCACAATACCTTTCCCCTTCAGAGCATTTCTCACAACTTCCAGTGTATACCTGTGTGTTTTTATTTGCTGGCTGGTTTTCTGTTTGCCTGCTCTGACTGTGCGTCTGACACTGCAGAAACCATGTCTGTCTTGTTCACAGTATCTGCAGCAAAGAGTACATGGGCACTCGGGAATTATTTGTTGAATAAACAGATTATTATGAAGTCATTAAAATAATGAAGATCTATATTTTAAATTGGCATTTGAAGGACCACCGTTAAACTGAATAAAAAAGCAATTTATAAAATGATATAAACAATAAGATGTTTTCAAAAAATACATAGTGCATAATACATATCTGTATGGTGAAATCAGAAAACATAAACAAAATTGGTGTGTGTGTGTGTGTGTGTGTGTGTGTGTGTGTGTGCGCGCGCGCGCACTATCTCAGGGTAATGTGATTTAGATGACTCTAACTGCTCCCCTGGCTTTTTTGTAGTGCTTAATCTTTCTGTCACCCCTGTGACTCAGAGTGGCCACCTCTTCGTTAGCCCCATTGAACTACACTTTCCCTTGCTTACGGCTCCCCTCCCCTCTCTCCATGGGAAGAGGGGAAGTAAGATGAGAAGTAAGATGGGGGGGATAAGAAGTAAGAGGGGGAAGATGAGAAGTAAGATGGTAGGAGGTGAAGGGGAAAAGAAAGGAATGGGGAAGTGAAGCCTGGAAAACCCACAACTGGGGTAAACAGTCCCCTGGAACAGCCTTCCTCATCCTCACCTGGGGCAAGTCCATGGGTGGCAAGAACTGCACACAAAAGAGACCATGAAGCATCCTAGCTAACCCCAAGTCCAGCGGCACCAGGAAATCTGAACCCTACAATGCCTCATCTATCCCATGAACTCCAGGACCTCCTGGCCCCAAACTTCTTACCTGAGCAAACAGATATTCCAGAGAGCTGGCGTCAAGGAGAGGGGTTGCATCAGGAACTTTTTTTTTCTCGTAGCCATTTTTCTGCTTCTTTGGAGAATGTCGCCATACCGACTGCTCATTATCATTGGTCCCATGCCAGTTGGTAAAATAAAACCTGGAACCCAGGAAAATATGTCAATTGTGGGAACAGTGACCTTCAAATGTGTGGGAGAAGTGTCCTGGTTCGACCTGGAGTTATCAGTGCCGGAGGCTAACCTTCCCAGAGAGGCAAAGAGACAGACCTTTCATCTGTAGTACTTTGCTTATGAGGTCCTTCTCTTTTCAGTCTTAAAACACTCAGTGAAAAGTGCCCTGCCAGTCTATGGCCCCGTCTATGACTCAGGGAGATAAAGTAACTTCTTTAAGATCACAGACACAGCTCCTTCTCACTGTGTCTTCCTAAATAGGAAACGCTGCTGACTGAAGTAGATGCTAGCCCAAAAACTCCCTTTGCCTTTAATAATGCCATCCTGCCTTGAATCCAATACATTTCATTCACTCTTTAACATTTCTGAAATCTTTGAGGATTTATTTTTCTTTTTTCTTAAGTATATTTAAAAAACTGCCTCCAGAAATCACCCCCCCTCTTAGTTCATGTCCATGGGTTTTACATACAAGTTCTTTGGTTTCTCTATTTCCTGTATTATTCTTAACCTCCCCCTGTCTATTTTGTATCTTCCCATTATGCTTCTTAATCCCTGCACCTTTTCTCCCATTCTCCTCCTTCTTCCTCCTCCAGCCAATAACCCTCCATGTGATCTCCATGTCTGTAATTCTGTTACTGTTCTAGTTGTTTGCTTAATTTTTTTAGATTCAGCTGTTGATAGTTGTGAGTTTGTTGTCATTTTACTGTTCATAGTTTTGATCTTTTTCTCAAATAAGTCCCTTTAACATTTCATGTAATAATGGCTTGTGACGATGAACTCCTCTAGCTTTACCTTGTCTGGGAAGCACTTTATCTGCCCTTCTATTCTAAATGATAGCTTTGCTGGATAGAGTAATCTTGGTTGTAGGTCCTTGCTTTTCATGACTTTGAATACTTGTTACCAGCCCCTTCTTGACTCCAAGGTTTCTTTTGAGAAATCAGCTGATAATCTCATGGGAACATCTTTGTTGGTAACTCTCTGTTTTTTCTTGCTGCTTTTAAGATTCTTTATCTTTAACCATTGACATTTTAATATTGATGTATGTTGGTGTAGTCTTCTTTGGGTCTAACTTCTTTGGGACTCTCTGTGCTTCCTGGATTTGTATGTCTATTTCCTTTGCCAAATTAGGGAAGTTTTCTTTCATTATTTTTTCAAATAAGTCTTCAATTTCTTGCTCTTCCTCTTCTCTTTCTGGCATTCCTATGATTTGCAGGTTGGCACTTTTGGAAATGTCCCAGAGTCATCTTATTGACTCCTTGGTTTTGTGAGTTTTTGTTTCTTCATTCTGTTCTGGTTGAATGTTTATTTCTTCCTTCTGGTCCAAATCATTGATTTGAACCCCAGCTTCCTTCTCTTCACTGTTGGTTCCCTGTGGATTTTTCTTCATTTCACTTAGTGTAGCCTTCATTTCTTCCGTCAAGTGTTTGCCATTCTCAATGAGTTCTCTAAGCATCTTGATCACCAGTGTTTTGAACTCTGCATCTGATAGGCTGGCCATCTCTGTTTTGCTTAGTTCTTTTTCTGGTGTTTTGTTCTATTCTTTCATTTGGGCCATATTTCTTTGTCTCCTCACAGCAGCCTCCCTGTGTTTGTTTCTATATACTAGATAGAACTGCTTTGACTCCCTGTCTTGGCACACCTGTTACATTGTAAGGGGTGGAGCCTCAGGTATTCACCAGGACAGGCAACCTACTTGACTGCTTTGTGGCTCTGCTGGGGCTGGAGGGGTCAGAGAGGTAACAATGCCACTGCCTGGCTTCTGGAGGCTTACCTGGCACTCGCCCCATTTCCAGTCACTTTACCTACTTCCCATATGCAACTGGCACCCTTCTGGCTCTTTCCCTGGTGGTGATTCCCAGAGTGGATATGTTTGCATGCATTCTAAGACCATGTGGGCCCTTTAAATGACTCTCTTGAGAAGCCAGCAACTTCTTCTACTGCCTCAACCACCACTGGTTTTCACGGCCAGAAGTAGTAAGGCTTTGTCCTCCTGGTATGAAACCCTGGGTTGCACAGTCTGGCCTGCAGCCGGGATCGTTCACTCCCAAGGTATCCCTCCATATTTTTATCCACCACATATGAATGTAGGACCACCCATTTCACCACCCCTGCTGCTGCTCCACGCCACACCATGTCCTCTCCACCCCAACTCCCTATCTATGCCCCTTCTACCCATCTGGATGAAGTTGGCTTCTTTAAATTCTTGGTTATTGGACTTCCATACAGTTCAATTTTCTGCCAGTTCTAGGTATTTTTTGGTTTGAGGTTAGTTATGATCCTTCTTGTGGTTGTGCAAGGAAACACAGCATGTCTACCTATGCCTCCATCCTGACCAGCACATTTCTAAAATCTATAGTTTCATCAAACAGCCACGATGTAAAGTTAATATCGCAGTGTTTCCTATTTCTCATATTTCTGTCTAAATTGATGGTTTACCATGCAATTAATAGAATTTTTAAATAGGAGATATAAGTGAATACTACTACAAGCACCAGCTTGTAATATTGTAATTAAATTAAAAAGCACTATATGCTACTTAACCCTTACAGCAACTATACAAGGTAGATTTCATTGTTTCTAATTTACAGATGAAGAAAACTGAGGTTCCCAAAGCTATGACCTAAGACTACAAGCCTGCTCACTTAACTGTCACTTTGCTCTACCACCTGTGAGAGAAACACAGGGAGTTCTGGAAGGTGTGAAAGGGAGAGAGCTAGGCTGATCAAGGCCATCTCTAGGCTACAGACTCAGCTGGTGCCTGAGTCTCTCTCCCTTGACATGCTCATGAAAAACCACCATGGTATGGAGAGGCGACAAATAAAACTGCCATCTCAAAAAGAGCTGCCATTAACCTACACCACCTGTCACTGAGCTGCATTTGCACAACCTAGCATATGCCAGGCCCTGCCCCTGGTGAGGTTCCCTGTCCATGCAGCCACAGGGCAACCAGTCAACTCCAACAGCAACAATAAAATAACATGTTAAGGGGGCACCTCTCATAAATAGGACTATACTGTGACTTTCATGGACCCCATACAGTTTTCCCTTCCTTCACAAAAAAATATTAAAGTTATATTTTACACCTGTGTTAGTATAAAGATGAAATAATCCATGCTAGATTATAGTAACATTTTCCTGATTTTAAATGAAATTAAAACACTTTTGTGGGCCCCTCATAATATCATGAGCCCTAGGCACTGTGCATAATAGATAACTTGTCCCTAGATATCAGATAAGGTGCCAAAGGAACACCAAGGTGGAAGAAGCTGGCCTCTGCTGCCAAGGAATGTGGCAGGAAGGGGAGAAAGGGCTGGGGAAGGAATTGGGACAGAATAAATAAATGCCAGGCTGTAGAGCCTTGACCATATGCAGCAGGCAGGGGAAAGAACGCAAGGCAAGCTAACGGGAGGCAGAATCTCCCTGGAAGACAGCCCCATGGAAAAAAAGGAACGAGGCCAAGAGACAACTAGATGCTATGGTAACAGTGCCATGAGCTTTGTGGAGGTAGGGGCCTCAGCTCTCTTGCTCACCACTGAATCCCTAGTTCCTGGCAGATAACAAGTGCTAAATACATGCTTGTTGGATCAATTAACAACAAATCATGAACTAATTAAGGGAGTAGAAATTAACATGGAGAGGAAAGAATGGATAAGAAAGTTACTTGAAAAAGAAAATCAGCCCTGATCAGGTGACTCAGTTCGTTGGAGCCTCTTCCCATACACTAAGAGACTGCAGGTTCCATTCCCTGGTCAGGGCTTGTATGAGAGGCAACTGACAGATGTTTCCCTCCCTCCCACCTTCCCCCCTCTCTAAAATCAATAAACATATCTTCAGGTGAGGATAAAAAAAGTAAACTCAACATTTTTAAACTGCTAGTGATTCTACACATGTGACTGTGGGCTTTGGTGTCTCTTACTTGCACACACAAAGTACCGCATATCCACAGAGCCCACATGATGTATAACCCACAGCTGCAAGACTGTCCCTAACATGGCACGGGACCAGACACTTATAACAGAAGCCTGTATCTATCAGTGATGAAGAGGCTGGCAATCATGCTTCCCATGGCCAGGGAGCCTGCTCTTCAAGAGCAGAGCCAAGCACAGGTTCAGAGGACTCGGCTGGGCTCTATTCTCCAGGGCAGGCAGAAAATAAGAGGTGAACCAACTCCACCAGCTGAGCAGACACAGGAAATTCTGACACTGGAGCAAAAGAAAATTAGACAAACACATGGCCAACTCCTTTGACTGTTGAGGAAAATCCAAAATGGAGCATTCTGGTCATTCATACAGTAACTAGAGATTTACTTGAACTTCAGCATGGAAAGCAATAGGTACAAGGGTCTAAACAGGATGATGAAGATAGTAGCTAAGAGCTTTTGTGTGCTTACCATGTGCTTGGCACTCCATTGTACAAAAGTTCAAAGTAGGGCTCTGACAGATTGGCAAGCAGGACAGGTAAAATCTGTTTGATAGTGCATGAAGATACTGATGAGAGAATGAGAATTGTGTACCATATGTACAAACTGTACTTGCACAATTATGTCCAAGTACCTAACACAAAGGAAAAAAGGATTTCAAGCATGAGAAATTACTTGGAAGAGAAGCAGTGAAGACAGATTTTCCCTGAACCAGTCCAAGCTATGGTCCTCTTCTTCTACACGCCACTGAGTCTCTATGAGATGCAGTCCTTGTACCTGGTAGAGCCAAGGGCCCGACACACTCCCTCTGGGCAGAATGCAACCTTCAATCCATCTGACAAGGACATTCTCCAAGGCTGCTGTCTGAGCCCTGTAGGACCCGCTTTGGCTGGGAAGTCTTTTGGCAAGATGTTCAGACAGTGTAAGGACAATGAGATCAAAGATGATGTGCAGCTTCTCCACCTCACTCAAGGCCAGAGGGAACCTAAAACAAGGCTGGGTCTCTAGAAACCACCCAAGTCAGTCAAAAGCTGACAGCTTTCTATGTGATAAGGTGACAGAACCAAAAATACAAAACAAAACAGAAGAAAAGTTAAAGCAGTGACAGCCAAAATCAACATCTTCCTAATTTTGTCCTAGTAAGACAAAACTAAAATTATATTGAAGACAGAAATTCTACATCCTTTTGAAAATTAACTATGAAGGTGGTCATCAAACTTGGGCCAAATACTAATTCCTAACATTATAATATGCTAATGGGAAAAAGTAAAGAATAACATATATAAATGTAGTATGATAGCTCCCAGATTCCTTTTCAGAATGACATGAAGGAATAATGCAGCAAGGAAGGAGGAAAAGATAGACAGACCTATCAGAGACATGCCTTCCTTGCAAGTTGTTCAGAAAATTATATTACAGATGACCGCATATTCTAAGCTTATGTAGAGATGTTTTATACAACAAATGCAGTTCAGGTTTCTATAGAACTTTATTAATGGATAAAGAAATTCATTTAGAAAAAATTTTTCTTAAAAAGAAATAGAGAATATTCTTGTCTTAATTAAGATATATTATAAAACAGTAACTATCAAAATCATCAAAAAACAGAAAACTATAATTGAAGTACAGGATTATTTCCCAAAATAGAACTGAGAGTCCACTGAAATATTCACTAACATTTATTTTTGTATTACACCTTCTTCAGTGGTGAGATTATGAGGTTTCAAAATTTTTGTAGTTGTTGTAATGCAAATATTTTAGCTTAGGGTGGGATCTTTTTTTCCCCAAGTTCAAAGAGCCTGTGGTAACAAAGCAATATCCTGTTGAAGAGCGATGTCAGGTACAAAGTCAAGGTGCCAAAAATGAAGCAGCAGTGCACTTCCTGGCAGCTAACAGACTGGGGAGCAGGCAAAGACAGCTTCTAATAGTGAGACATTCACACAAGCAACATAAACAAATGCCTCCAAGAGGGCTCTGTACTAACAAGATGATCCGCTAGTTGTGGGACCTTCAGGAAACTCACTTCTCTTTTATGGACATCGGTTTCTTCCTAAAAAGTTGGAAGAGTTGAATTAGGTCAACTCAGGTCTCTTCCAAGTCCCAATTTTACCATTCTAGATTTCAAACCAAGTGGAGAAACCTAGAGGGCAAGAACTAGAACTGAATGGCATGCCCCCTTCCTCCTGGAGCTGCAAGCATACGTTTAAATGCTGGATCACATAGCCAGCTCCATGAGGCCACAAAATCAAGATTACACTTTGAAAAACAAATCCAAATATAGTCAGAAGGTTCAGCTGGGTAGGGTGAGTGTTTCCCTAAATCTGGGGCATGGAATCTCACATGGCATACCTCCCTCCTCATAAGGTGAAGCCTTGGATGAGTACAGAGAGAAAAAGTCAGTCACAGAATGACTATCAAAAAAAGTAAACCCGGTTCAGCTTCCACAGAGGAAAACATACACGTCATTCTAGAATGGTAACAACTTTACTGACTTCCCAAAGGAGACAGCAGCTAAGATACTGTGGAGAACCTCTGCATCCCCAAGGGCTTTTCTAGCCTGTCCCTGAGTTCCATCAGTGCCTGAACTAATCTACTTATTTAATCACATCTATGTTAGTTAAGATCCTTTTCAAAGAATACCCATCCTATTTATAAGCTCCTTTGCTAAATACACTTGTTAACTTGTGCTTAACTACTATCTAACAACCACACTCGAGGATTGTAGGTAGAGAACAAACATGCCTATAAACTCAAAAGACTCCTGCCACAAAACACTAACCGCCCATGCCCCGCTGGGAGACTACATGACAGGTAACAAGGTCAACGATATGGGAGAAAAGGCAAGCACCCACCAGAAGAAAACTCACAGCCCACTAGAAAAACTCCCCAGAAAGTGGATCTAAATAGCCACCCCTTGTGAGCAAAGCCAACTTAGAATTTCCAGAATACCACTTCAAGCAGTGTTTCTCAAACCCTTTAGCTGCAATTTTTATTAAGAAATATATTTTATCCCCTGATGGCTTGGTACATGCATATGTATATTTCAAACAAAAGTTTTCAAAAACAACATTCTTAGGATATGTATATATACTGATTATTATCTATTCTTGCCTTTAAAAAAATTCTGGTCACAACTCACTAAATTAAATTCATAACCATGATTCACCACTTGAAAAACTCTGGTACATGACACTAATTCTATTCGAACTATCCTCTGCATCATAATGACGTCTATACTGTGGCAGAAGAAGGTGATCAAATTATCATGAATTGTATTCCAAATACTGAAGAAGTTGTTTCTCATACCAAGCAAATACAAAGCTTACAAATTACAAAACTGATGACACTATTTCTTGATAAGTGACTCAGGGCTCCAGGCTAACTGCCACCCTCCCTGCACGAGAAAGCCAGGCAGGCACACTTACCTCATCCGGTAATGGAGCCGAAGCGATGTCTTGTCATCGACAGCGATGGTGTGATTTGGAGCATACCAGAGCTTGGTGTTCTCATCATACAGAGCAAAGAGGTTGTGACACAGAGGAGAGATACCTGGGGGAAAGTAAAGAACACATCAAAAAACTGAAGACAGATACATTTACCTATCCATTTCCAATGCATGACATATTATGCAAAGATAGAAAGTTCTCTTATTCAAAAAGAATCTAGGTCACATTCATATCCTCTTAGGGCAAATAAGACTTCCAACCATGTTCAATCAAGCAGTTTTAATCATAATAATTAATAACCATGGCTCCTCAAGAATATGCACAATAGCTCCTGGCAAACCAGATTAAAAACATTTTAAAACAGATGTCTCATGATATTTCTCACTAGCATGTCTACAACACCATCTTACTAAATCCTGCCTTCAAAAAGGCCACCTGACAGGTTCCCAGACCCCACCTGATGCTCACCTTGCTAATCATAGTCAGAAACATGCTTGGAGTTTGAGAAGTCCCCAATTTGTCTCCAACAGGAAATGTTTAAACAATTCTAACATACTGTGATTATACGTTAAACATGCATGTTGTTCCTGGCAGCAGCACATGAAATTATGTGTTAGAATAAATATAACCAAAGTGATTTTTGTCAGTGATTAAAATTTATTACCAACTAACAAGGAGATATGTGCTTAACAAAGGTGGTCCAATAAGTTCCTGGGCTGCCCCATCCCACACACACCAACTGCTTCCCTCAGTACAAGAAGAACAGAAAAGATAAGGGAGATTATGAAGCCAGAACACACCCTTTCACTCACTTCTGAGCCCTGTAATCTAAAAGCAGGTGAGGAAGGGAGGAAAATGATTGCAAATAATCAACAATGACTGATATTTTCATGTGCAACTAGGCCTCAAACTGAGATAGAGTAAATTTAACCAAAAATGAAGGAACTGGTCATTGTTTCCCAAATCAGACACCTGAAGTGAGACAGACAATGATGGGGACTCTTGCCAGCCCTGCCTACCTAGCAGGGACTCTCTCCAATGAACACGCTGAGTTAGGAAATTGAAAGCAAGGTGGGGGTGGGATCAGGGGAGGGAGGGAGGGATGGCAGAGGTTGGGGGGAGTGGTGGGAGGGAAATGCAGACAACTGTACTTGAACAACAATGACGACAAAGAAGTTACAACCGCACTGATACTCTCTGCCAAACACTTCACCTCAATCCCTGTCCCTCAAACTATCTGGGAGTTACCCCTTCAGAAGTTACACTCCTCTGTGGAACAGAGAAGATGGAGCTAAGCTGTAAACAGCTTTCTCTCTCGGGAACAAGGGCAAATGACTTTTGGATCCAGTATTACTGGGACTATGTTTCAGGTTATACTATAGTTTTTCATTCGCAAATTGGATTTTGTGAACTGGCCAGGAAGCCTAGCCTTTCTTTATACATATCCATATTTGAAGCATAATTTATTTATAATCATGGATCTGTCTCTAATTCTATCACAGGTCTGATTCTAATAGTATTAGTATTTGTAAATAGGAGTATCAAAGAGATAATTTTATATAAAAGTATGGAATAATAATAGCATTACTAACATTTGGCTTAGTGTCAGGCATTAGGCTAACACACTATACATTCATTATCTTTAAATCCTCCTAACCTCTAATTATGTATTATTTCTGCGATTTACAAGTAAAGAAACTGTTGCCTCTTGAGATTTAGTCTGACTTGGGGTTACTCATCTAGTAAAATGCAAGGTTGGGGATTCGCACCAAAAGAGAACTGTTGAGAAGGTGAAATAATGAAAGTTTAAAATACAAAAATTTGTCATATAATAGTGAAAAACATGGAAGAAAATAGCACTGCCTCCAAACATAATTTACTATATAATAAGGAAAGCTACAAGAATGTGTCACATTCTGTATTCAGACATTTTAAAAATTAATAAATTTTTGTAACATTCTCCTGAGTCAGTTAGAATAGAGACCACTCATTCTACACAGACTGGGCTTAGGGTCTGATGCCCCAAACTGACTGGTCCTGAGCCCAGAACCCCAGGAACTCCCAGGGGCTGGTGGCTGTCCTCGGACTCACAGGCTCTCTACTCTCCTGCAGCAGCAGCTCCCCGATCTCTCTCTGCACCCCCACAATTCTGCACAAATGCTCCCTGCTCACAAACTGAGGTTTGTACCTGCTATGCTGATGGCAAGGAGCTGGGCAAAGATGACGAACACTATAAACCAAATCTCAAGGGAAAAGAGAAAAAAAACACATTGCCTTAAAAAGTATTTTAGAAGCAACAATTTCATGTAGTTGTTTTTCTAATTACGAATATTTTTTAAAGCTGATATCTAAAGTCAGTTCCTTATACACTTGGATATCTAGTCAAAATAACTTCAGATTATTAATGCATTTCTTCCTTATAATCTATGTATCTCAACCAGTTCTACAGTGTTATGTTTTGTAAGAGTCTACTATACTTTTTTCCCCCTATAGTAACCTTTTTTAAAAAAAAATTAGAACTGTTATTTAAAGCATTTTGGCAGAAAGATATATATCAGAAAGAAAATGGGTTTTCCAGACAAACTGTATCACAAACAAGGAAGGTGATTCTTGCAATAACCACTCTATCCCACAGAGCTGTTCTGAGGGCAAAAGATGACACAACTAAAACATGGACCAGACTGTCTGTCATCATGGTTACTTCATCTTCATAAAACGAGTCAATATTTTTAAAAATAGCTTTACTGAGATGTAATTCATATACCACAAAGTGTACCTGTTTTAGAGGTATAATTCAGTGAAGTTTAATATATTTATAGAGTTGTACAACCATCACTGTAGGATCTAAGTGGATTAGATCTTTAAGTCTCTATGACTTAAATTTTTCATTTAAAAGCAGGTAGCCATAAACTTCCAATGACCTCAAGTTTAAAAGATAATGAAAAGGGCTTTATTTTGTTACTCAGTTTGTTTTCTACCTGCTGAAGGCACAGGCTAAGTTTAGTAAGACAAGCCACACTTTAAAAAAATGGGTTGTGTTGTTCACAGCCTCACTGTCCTTTTCACAACTTGGCAAGCTGACCAAGCCACAAAGTGACACTCAATTTCTCACTTCACCTCGGCATCACATGGGTGGGGACTAGGGGGAGGACACAAGTCACAGCAGAAAGATGAATCATACTTTTCAAAAGTTTTAAACAATTATGATATTGGGAGATGCCACTTATTGAGTCTGTAACTTTGTGCTAGGTGCCCAGATGTGGGGGAAACAAAAACTAAGCCTCCACAGAAGGCAAGCATCACTCCTTGGTATCCAACAGCTCATCTGTGAAAGCAGGAAGAAAGTAAAGCTCTCAGAATTCAAATCACTGACCTAAGGTCAAATGCAAGTGATTGGCAGAGGCAAGACAATTTCCCTGACTCCCAGAGCCCACACCTCTCTCCACTTAGCGGAACCACCAGGGGCAGAGACATGAGACCTGCTTCTAGGATGGTGTGCCCCCAAAACCTGCCCTGGGCCCAGGGCAGCTGCCCGTACTCACAGCACTCCTGTGCCGCCCTGATGCACAGCTCCTCCGCTGTGTACTCTCCACTGCCCAGCTGGAGGGGCTCCCTGTCTGACAGGTAGAAAAGCACTTCCACCCCTGGCTCAGGGGCCTCCTGATTCACCTCGGTCTTCTTGGAGCTCCGCATTTTAGCACAGAAAGCCATGGCATTGCAGTCCTCTTTTATATTTAGATACTGTAAGGAAAACAAGACTGTGGTCACTCCACATGCTACAAGTTCTAGTATCTGTTATGAAGGTAAACACACAGAAATATTGGATAAGTACCTCTCCCTGCCCCTTCCCTTCCTGAAAATCAAATGCATCAGAGCTTATGACAGGTGAAACTAGAAAATAATCAGTTACATATTCTAATAAATCAACTATGGTCAGACCATATTCTCAAAAATCAGAATAATTTTAGATATGGCTTAAATTTATTTTCTCTGTTTTGCACACAAGTTGTAGCAGAAAGATGTGGCTCACTCTGCAACCACTGATGTTAATGGTGCTAATACTGCTGCCAACTCTTCTGGAATCATTTCACTTTTGAATAGAACTATGACACGAATCACACTTTTAATTTTATGTCTATCTCCCATTAAACTACAGGCTCAGTAAGGGCGGTAACCATGACTTATCTATCTACACGCCCCCAGAGCCCAGCCCAGGGCTGGCTCTGACAGAGTGTCCACAACATGACTAGTAATTCATATTCATAAATCACATGGAAGAGTCATGAAAATTGATTAATGGAGCTGGGCTCCCAGCACCCTGTGGGATGGCAGGAGAATGGGCAGCATGCTGTGGAAACAGAATGAGGGGAGGCAGCCTTGCTTTGAAAAGGTCATAACCCTATGGTGAGAAGCTTGCAAAAAAGCCATTTATGTGAGCTTCCTAAAGGGGATGGCAACTAGGATCAAAGAGCCAACCTCAGCAACTTGGTCTCAGGCAAGGCCAGAAAGGAGAGGGGAACAAAGGAAATCCCTACATTTTCTTTCTTCCCCACACCCCAACACCAATGGCTTACAAACTAATTTCCTTGACCCAAGGCCACAACTTTCCTCCTGCTTGCCAAGCCAGCCTTCACTTACCCTCCAAAGGAACGTCTCAATAACACGTCAGATCCTCTAAAGGCCCCCCACTAACCTACAGAACAACCTCAAACTCCTACCAGGGCTCTCCGTCACCTGGCCAGCTAGCCTCACTAGTCTGACTCCATCCCTCCCAGCCTCTTCCTCATGCTTCACACCCTCAAAGCTGCGGTCTTCTTGTTAGCTGGCCCCATTCCCATCCCTCCCCCAATGCATTTTTTCTCACCTTCCTGCCTTTGTTCATGCTGATTCCTCTACCAGGAATACCTTCCACCTCAACCCTTTTGGGGAAAACTTCAATTTTCTTTAGAATTCAGCTCAGACTATCTCCTCCAGGAAGCCTCCCATTCCCTAAGTTAGATGGCTCTCTCACAAACTCACCACATGGCACTGACAACACTGAATTATGACCACCTTACTCATGTGTCTGTGTCTCTCCTCACATGTGCTAGAGTTCCCTTAGGACCTGTGTCATTCATCTTTGTTCCCAGGTACCTAGCACAGAGACTTACATGCCTGCAGAATGACCCAAGGAAGCTCCTCAAAACAAGCCAAGTCATAGAGGATGCAGCAGTCACAGCTGTCTCTGCCAAATTCATGTGCTTGGTCTACTAGGTGCCCCAGTGAGCGACCTAAGGGAGTTATAGGAGGGGCATAACCTAGGTATGCATGCCTCAATGCTACAAACTGAGGGACATTCAATTTTACTTGCTTAATCTCTAGAATGAATCTGAAAGCCAGAATCTTCCAAAAACCAGGTGAAAAGACTAAGCTTATAACTTACTTTGAGGCTCAGGTCAACTGTTAAGCAAGAAAGTTCTAAAGCTCAACACTAAATCCCCAAATTCACCCCATGAAAAATAGAAATGGAGAACAAAGTAGCTAAAGTCTGCTTCACAATGTGAGATAAACCTTTGTCCTTGAGATTTTATACAGACATGGGAGGGGAAGAATACAAAGATAGTGTTACACACTTTCACCCTGAGGGGATGGGATCATCAGGCAGGTATACATAATTAGACACACACAAGATGTGGCATCATTTGAAATGGGGAAAAACCATACAATTGACAATGTCGAACAAGGAAGGACTCACTAAACAAAGTAAGTAATAGCAACAGGAACACTAGGTAGCTAGTAAAAAAAAAAAAAAGACATAAAGCTATATGAACCAACATTGAAAGGTGTATATGACATACTATGAAGTGAAAAAAAAGTATAATTCATGTATTATCATCCTTTTAGTCATACATACCTATAATCTGCAAAAATATACAGTAAGTTTACAGTGGTGAATCTAGGAGGGGTTACAAGGGAACTTGCACTTTGTACATCCTACATTCTTATACTCAGGACTTCTTTTTAAGCAGCACATTAGACATTTGCAATGAACAAAAATTAAAATACCAATAGTTCAGAACTAAAGGATATAGTACAGGTAGCCCTACAATTTCAAGATTGGTTTCATTATTCTTTTTATGATCTATTTTCCTTTTTGTCTTTAATATGCAAATGTACATACCTGCATTTATTCGGCTGTCCAATATCCCCAAAAGCAGACTGGATTTTCTTCTCTACTTTCCAAAGCCCGTTCAGAGCTGAGCTAAAGACAAAGAGAAATCAATAAATCAGCTGCAGAGGTAATTGCATCCGAAAATAAAAGGACACTTTCATTAGGGAAACAGCCCAAACCATAAGCGGGAAGAAGCATTTGGGAGGAAGAAGGAAAAAACATCCTTGATGAGGACAATGAAAGGACAGAGGTGCCGCAGGGTATAAACATCAAGAAGGTATTATTTTCATGGCTTCAAGAAAGGAAGTGGGGACTTTTGCTTCCTGGCATACAGTGCCCTGCCCAGTGTAAGTGAAGACTGTGTACCCTTTCCATCAACAGCCTCTCTCCTGAGACTTGGAAAAACAGTTTAGGAAGCCCAAAGATGTGCACTTTTATTTCCTATTTCCATTTCCTTTAGAATTACCCTCCTCTCAAAGTGGTCTGTCCTTGGCCTCAATTTAATGGTGAAACAATGTACAGTATGATAAAGGGGGAGGGCCCTGAAATAAATCTGACAAATGATATACTTTAAGTTCACCAAATATTTTTGAGCCATTCTTATTTGAAAACTTAGGTAGCACATAAAGTCCCCTCCCAACTCCCCAACCTCACCTGAAAGCCTACTGGAGAAGAATGCCAGCTTGGTTCTACAGAACTAATGTGCCTGGTCCCATCCTCACAACCACAACTCACCGCCCCCGCCCCCAGAACCCCCCCCCCCCCCACCACACAGAGCTCTTTGCTTTAACTACTTTCCTTGGTGTTCCTCACAAATTCTTTTAACAGTAGAATCAAATTATTTTTGCAAATAAGGAGCAACCACCCTTAGTGGATTGAAAGTGGTTTCCAAGTTAACACAGGTTGTTGTCTCAGTTTTCTGTATGTCATTCAACACATCTGATCAGAATCCAGCTTTAGGAAGAGCACAGTCCCAGGCATAATGCGGAAGAAGTGGAGAGGGAGCAGAGGGGGTGGCCTGAAGATGTGTTACTTCTGAGGCTGCAAGGCCACAGGACCTCCCACAATCCAAGTGGGAGATGGCACGGAGGAGAACGTAAAATCAATCTAGAATCAACAGAGTGTGTCACAATGTCATCTTCTGTGCCTCTAGCTAACTCTGGTGACAAACACTGCTGAGAGCTAATTCGGGAAGGCTTTCCGCTGTAGATGTAGATAGGAGGCCACACAGGGGATATGAGCATGAATTTTGACGGGACAACTTTGATTTGGCTATTTTGACATGGACAATTTTAACAAGAATCAAAGAGCAAATTGTCAGATTGTCGGCTTTTAGAATATAATAAACTATTTTAATTATGTGAACAGATATCCTGCCCTGCATCGAAACAACAGCCTGATATTAGCTACATGCTAGTACCGTGCTTCAGTTCAGAAGCAGAATTTCAAATGTCACATTTGGAGATTTATTCAATAGTATTTCTGAGTTCTAAGTGCTAACAAATGGGTTATGTCACAAGGCCGCAATGAAGAGCAAGAGTACTATGGTCCCTGATCACATGGAGCTTATAGTCTACAGCAGCGGTCCCCAACCATTTTGGCACCACAGCGCAGTTTCATGGAAGACAATTTTTCCATGGACTGGGGTGTAGGGGATGGTTTGGGGATGATTCAAGCACATTACATTCCAGCTTACCTCCTGCTGTGCCGCCTGGTGCTGAATAGGCCCAGACCAGTACCAGTCAGTGGACCGAAGGTTGAGGACCCCCTGGTCTACAGGACCAATGGAATCAAACAAAAATGCACAGAAATGGGTAACTATAAAGAGCTTAAAATGCCCTGAGGGAAAAAAGAGAGCTCATATAAAATAAGAGGAATGTGATTGAACATGGGGCTCAAGAGGAAAGTTAATACTGACCTAAGATGTAATGGTTATCTGGAGAGGTGGGGAGAAAGCAATGTGGGTGCAGGATTATCATGTGCAAAGGCCCTTCAGACAGAAGGCACTAGTCTGGCCTCTCCAGCTGCATAAATAAGAAAATCCCTCCCATACTTGTTTTTACAGCACTAACCCATTTATCAGCAGTACTTGTCAACAGCATGTCTGGGGCCTTTCTACCCCAGGTTTCCTGCAGTGTGCCATCAGAGTCTATTGCCAAGGAGGAATGGAAATCAACCAGATGAGCTCCATGCAGAGAATTAAGAAGCCTGCCTCAAACCAGGAAAGGGACACATACGTGGAGCCTTTTAGAGCAGACAGAGACCTATAAATTCCACCAGGTCAAGGCTCTTTAAGAAGAGCTACAGCACAAATCTTTTTAGAACTCACGAAGCATTTTAATATGCACGATCAGATCACATGTTACTTGAACTTAGGAGTTGTGAGGTTGTTCTAGGCCTCTTGTAAGATTCTAGGATAAGACTAAAATCACTAACATTCTTCTAGAACTGCAATTCTATGACAACCTGTAATTAAGCAGAGTTTGGTTTTTCCACTGCAAACAACATTGTGTTGAAATTGCATTGCACCTAATTTCCAAACTGAACTCCAGTACTACTGGGCAGGACAAAAAAAAAAAAAAATCAATTTGCGATGCTTAGCATAGAGATTTAACTCTTTGAGAAAACAAGATCAGCAATAGAATTTTTAGACAACATGCATTTGCCATGATGTTTTATATGGTGACTCAATAAAACAAATTCCCTACTCTCAGAAAACTGACATTCTAATGATAAAGATTTTAAAAGCACTTAAAAGACATGCTAGGCATCATCCTAAGCACTTAAACCTAGGACTGCTGATCCAATTTACATGAAATGACAACTGCCCTCATTCAGGATGACAAGCAGTTTTTGGTGCCACAGCATTTGTGTAATGGCTTCATTCAAATAACATTTCAAATAAACCAAACAATATGTTCTAGCTACTTATTTTTACAATAGGTAGAAAAGGTATAAGATCAGTTTATAAATACTTTGGATAATTCCAAGAAATCAATTTAAGTTTCTTGGTACAAGATACAAAAAGAAAATCTTTAATGTTAGAAAAACTGGCCAGTTGGAATTACACAATGCCCTTTAAAAACAACACAGTTCCCTGGGCTCCATACCCAAGTCAAATGAAAACAGTGCAGCTCAGCAAATGGGAAGGACAAAAGTAGGCAAGGCTTTCTGAAGACAGCAGTGAATTCTTCCACCCTAACTTACGTACTTATAAATATCTTTCTTTCCATGGCAGAGGATTAATTTTATGGCTCAAACTTGTAGAAGCTACTTTAAATGAAAAAAAAAAAATCAGGGAAATTTTGTAGATTCTCAATTTTTTCTTAATTTGTAAAAGTCTTTGCAAGAGACAAGTACATCTGATACTTTCTGAATGAGGAAACAGTAACATAAACCCAACATAATTCTGTAAGCCTGAACAAGGACTAACCTGCAATAGATGGGATATAACAACTGTTTTCCAAATTGCACAATCCAAAAATCTATTTCTGAAGATACCAAATGCTCTTATATTTTCCAGGACATCTTTTGAAATACTAGTATCTGTATAAGAAAGAACATACAATTATATTTTGAATGGTGGAGAAACGAGACATAAAAACAGACTATGTTAATATTCACAAATATGATCATCAGAATATTAATGCCTTTTGGCCAAAGGCTGCTGGTAGATTTACATGATAAAAAACAGACTGGATAATGATTAAAATCAATGACAATCAAAATAAAATACTTTGGGTTATCTAATGTTTTTACTAAAGAAACCATCACACCTCCAGTGAGTTACTTTATGTATGTCTTAAAGGAGTCAAAGCTTTTCATCTCTGAAAATACAAATAAAATGTTGATGAATTAAGGTATGAATTCAGGGGAAAAAGTGTTTTTTAATGCAATCAGAAAATGTCCTGAAATCAGCTGTATAATACATACCTTTAAAATTTTAAGATTAAAGGTCTTAAAAAACTATTTCAGCAGGCACTAGTCTTAAGGTTGGTAAGGAAACTTAAAGCCAAAATGCAGGCTTCTAAAGGGCAGGGATTTTAATTTCTTTTGTTTAGCACTTTACACCAGCACATATGAATTAGGTGATCAATATGTAATTAAATAGTTGTTAAACAAAAGATGAAGGTGACAAACAAAGCAATATATGCAATAGAAAAGTCACCATAATCCCAGGTGTGTAGGTTCTTAATGACTTGATACACAACTAGCAAGTGTAGCAAGTGTGACCGTGAGCAAATCATTTTAATCTGTGAACCTCAGTTTTCCCATCCATTAACCTGAGAGGAAACATCCTGTCTAAAGAGTTGGGTAAGGATCACCCTGGCTGGCGTAGCTCAGTGGATTGAGCGTGGGCTGCAAACCAAAGCATCGCAGGTTTGATTCCCAGTCAGGGCACATGCCCGGGTTGCAGGCCAGGTCCCCAGTAGGGGCCATGTGAGAGGCAACCACACATAGATTCTCTCTCTCTCTCTCCTTCTCCCTCCCTTCCCCTCTCTAAAAATAAATAAATAAAATCTTTAATAAATAAATAAATAAATAGTTGGGTAAGGATCAAAAAAATCTTCCAAAAAAATCTTCATCAAGCTCCTACAGTACCTTTTTCAAATGAGGCCAGAGATGTGATAGTGCTCAGAAAGGTTTTAGGTGCTAAGCAATATAATGTAGTATATGGCAGAAGACAAAGGTAGACTGAGCTTGCTTAGAAAAACAAAGGAATAAACAGGGATTCTGACAAAAGCCTGGTCACAAATCAAAGTCCCATTTCATAAATCTCGGATGACAGAGTAGAGCAACTAGACGCGTGAGCTGGCGGCATCCTGACCTGGGTTTGAATCCTGCCTTCCACACCTACTAGCTATTAATAATCTTAGGCAAGTTACTTACCATCCCTAAACCTCAATGTTCTCAGCTTTAAGTGGAGGGATAAAATAGTGTATATCTCATAGAGCTGTTAAGAGTTAAATGAGCCCTGGCTGGCGTAGCTCAGTGGATTGAGCTCGGGCTGGGAACCAAAGTGTCCCAGGTTCGATTCCCAGCCAGGGTACATTCCTGGGTTGCAGGCCATAACCCCCAGCAACCGCACATTGATGTTTCTCTCTCTCTCTCTCTCTCTCTCTCTCTCTCTCTCTCTCTCTCCCCCCCCATTCCCTCCCCAAAAATAAATAAATAAATTAAAAAAAAGAAAAAATAGCAAAATAAATGTTATTTAAAAAAAAAAAGAGTTAAATGAATTAATGCACATAAAGTGCCTAACAGAGATTTTGGCCAGATTTTCTGTTAAACTGATTACGGCTTGACAGAATGCTGTTTAGTCAAGCAGAGGGGATTCCAGTATCTCCATCTCATGCACAGAACTAGGCACTCACACTTAATACTCACAAGAAACAGGAGAGGTTTTAGGCCAATCAAGTGGAGTGCCAGAAGTCAAACACTGATTCCAAAGATTTGCTCCTTTAACAGGAGGGAAAAAACTGCTTTAGAATGCCCCCATCACCAACACCACTATATTCTGTGGCTTTTTGATACTTTAGACATTCTAACATCCACCTAGGAGACTGACCTCATTCCACGGCCCTTCCCTTTAGAGATGGTTATTTAAAAAACCAGCTGTGCTCCAGCCCTCCACTAACTCACTGCTCTGGCACCACTACTGCAGGTGTGCAGAGGAAAAGTCCTGGTGGGCCTGGCACCTGCCCAACCCACGGGGCCATGGAACCTCCTGGAGGCCTAACACACACATCAAGACAGGGAAAGCATCTCTGCATCCCTTTCAGTCTCATTACCAGGGCTTCACAGCTTCAGGAGCCTTGGACGTGACTTGTGTCTGTTGCTCCCAGTGGCCCCCCCCCACTTTGCTGAGACCCAGAACAACTGCTCCGACAAAAGCATCACAAGATACTGTGCAAAGCTGATGGATTCCGGCCAAAAGACCAGATAATATAAATACAAAACCTGCTATTTTATCCTGTCAGCAAGTCAGAATTATGGCTTTTCTATATGCCATTCCTGCCACACAAAATAACTCACTTATAGCTATGGCGGCAATTCCAGGAATACCCCAGAACTGTAAGTGCTGCTTCATTTACAATAAACTTCCAGGGACGCTCAAACAATCAATGCCAACTCAATGGGTCAGGGCTCTCTGCTCTGCTCCCAGTGAGCCTGCTTTCCCTGAGAGGGTTTCTGATCAAAGTAAATATAGTACTCTGCTTAATTAAAGTCAATAAGTGTTTTCCTAAAAGCCACATTATATCAAGATGCTTTGCTACTTCTTTTCTTCTTTTACCACTAATATAACTATAAGGTTGTTGAAGAGCACAGAATACAGGGGTCAAAAATATGGTAGCAGGAGTGGACATGCCAAACATGGAGGGTGCAGAATGATGCCTTCGCCTTTTGTGTTTTTCAACCATTCTTGTATCATCGCAATAAAACCTTATACTTTAGAGCTTAAAACGTTTTTCACATCTATAACCACATTTGAGTCTCACAGTCCCTTTCACAGATGAGAAGATTCAGCTTCAGACTTTCCCACGGTCAAGTGGCCAGCGAGTGGTAAGGCTAGGCTCAAACACATTTCTTGGCCTTAGCTTCACTGCCCTTTCAGGTTGCTACACTTCCTTAGACAAGTCATGCGGCTTTGGGGAAATCTATAGAAGTACCACAATTAAATCTGAGCCCACCAAAACCTTACAGTCTATTAACAGCTGGCCAGATAAACATACAACAGGGGAACTTCAAGAAAGCAGATGTGGAGGTGATGTGAAGAGACGGGGCAGTGAGAACTACAGGAGTCAAGAAAGGACTGTGAAGTGATCGTGGAGAGTGGAGTCTGTTTCCAGCTTGAGGAACAGAGGAGGTTTTAAAAGACAGAAAGGAAGGGTACAACTGTTCTGGAAAAGGGCCAGGAGCAAGGAAAACAATGATGGATGGATGTGTAGGAAGAAACATGCAGACCAGGAGGGATCCTGCAGGACAAGGCAGATGGTGTGGAACGTGAAGTGGGTCCCACGGGGGACAGTGCCTGTGCACCAGCCTCCTCCTGTAGGCAGTAAGAGAAACCACCCGTCCATCAGAAAGGGGCCCCAGTTCCAGCCCAGTTCTGCCAGAACCTGCCTGATCTTGAGCAAGCCTCTGAAGCTCTCTGAGCTCGAATCCTGTGAAATAAAAATGTATTTATGTGACCTCTCAAGGTCCTTATGAACAGAAGCAGTCAGAAACCTAAGGGTCACCCTAACCTGGGTTTGGATCCCAGCTTTAAAGTCTGTGTGACCTTAGGCAAATTATTCTACCTCTCTAGGCTTCATTTCCTCTGTAAATGGAATTAATAAAAAGCATCTACTTTACAGGGCTGTTGTGAAGATTCAATATTTCTCTAAATCTTTTTACGAAGTAAGTTCTTGACTGGCTATTACTCAAAAAGCTCAGAGTTCATTAGGAAATCAGTTTTCTCTGAGTATATTCAAGGATTTTTTAAAAAAAAAACTTTTTCAATTAATAAAAAACCCTATTTTACAAATGTCTGAAACAATGTTATACTGCACAACACTAATTTTTCATTAATTGTATTTCCAAAATGTCATGATGCAAAGACACTGAACCTCTTGCTGATATGCCCTATGACAGAGCCTGAAGGTACCTTAATTTAAAGGAACACCAGGCCTGGCTGGCGTAGCTCAGTGGATTGAGCACGGGCTGCGAACCAAAGTGTTGCAGGTTCGATTCCCAGTCAGGGTACATGCCTGGATTGCAGGCCATGACCCCCAACAACCGCACATTGATGTTTCTCTCTTTCTCCCTCCCTTCCCTCTCTAAAAATAAATAAATAAAAATCTAAAAAAAATAAAATAAAGGAACACCAGGAAACCACCCTGAATCTCTCCACACATCAATGACTTTTACTAATTTATTTGTGTATCTACTCTGTATTTACACACTGCCTCTCTCTGTCTTGTACTAAACTCTTTTGCGGGCAGAAATCCATTGTGCACGTTTCCTGTAATTTTTTAACCACTCAGGGTTCTTGGGTACAAACAAGAGAAACCAGCTCTGTTTACCATAGGATAAAAAAGGGAAAGATATAAAAACACAGCAACAGTCTGATAAAGACACCATTCTAGCATGGCCGCCACAAGTCACCAGATAGCACCACTGGACCCCTCTCTGCTGTTTCCATGAATGATCTTATCTCTCTGTATAATATTTGTGCCATTCCCTCCAGATTCAAATATCCTGGGACCGAGGGATCCAAAAGGCTTAAACTAGCTCACCCCTAGTCAATGGTGTGCACCTCCTTCAGCTTCCATAGCAACAAAGACTATTCTGGAAATGAAGGGGATTCAGATGCTGGACAATCCCACAAATGGCACAGTCCACTCTAACTGATACAACAAAGGAACTCAGCTATTGCCTCAAAATATAAGTGAAGTTGGCGAGAAAGAAAGAGGAAATCTCAAAAAAGAAAAAAAAATGTCTCCCTACATGTGTCCCTACGCCTCTCCTCAACCAGGAAACTGGAATCAGTTTTTATGTTTAGTTTT